CAGAGGCAACAGTCCGCCAAGATAAAACCAGACGAAAAAATAGTCTCCTAGCGCTAGTCCTGACCAGACCATGAGTGCCATCATCGCCACGAGGACTCCACAGCCTCCGAGGCGGAGTTCACGGTCCCAAGTCAACATGGCAAGTCCACTCGACAACTCAAACATGCCCGTCATTGCCCGGTACATGTCCGGATCTGGCGTGTAGCCTAGCCACGCACTGGGGAATACGGACGCATATAAAATACAGCGTAAATGCTGAAACAGAGCGAGAAACACTAAATCAAAAATACAGTTTCCAGATATCATTGGGGAAAAAACAAAAAAATATTCATCGAGGGGTGAAAACAGTCACAGATACCAAGATACATTAAAACTACAAAAGATATTTCGTAACAGTAACGGATACCCGCAGATACTTCAAAACTGACATGAATACCAACGCATACTTCAAAACAGTAACAAATGCCCAAAATACTTCAATACCGTAACATTAACCACAGAACCAAAGATACTTCAAAACACATGTACCCTTAGATGCTTCAAGCCAACAACAGATACTAGTAAATACTTCAAAACAGTAACAGGTGCCCACGGGTTACCGATACACCCAGATATTGGTGTCTCAAACCCGTACTTCAAAAACGGTATCCAATGACAACAAATACAAAGGGCCACTTGAAAAAAAAGGGAACCATAACGACCATAATTGCAAAACATTGCAGACAAGATAGTCTAGAACACGTGGTTACGAATGTATACAGCGACAATGCCCCGCGTTGACGTTCATCGACGCAACACCAACACGATCCGTTAATTGTTAATTTTAGTGTTGTATTCCAAATGACAACAGAAATGTCTTACGTACAGGACACAGGCACTTGGCACAAATTTTCAATCCACTATAAATACTGTGATACACAAGTATTATGAGAGTTTGGGTTGGGATTTTGTGCCAAATCTCTGTGGTACGTTATACAATGCTCTAAAAGACCTATAATTTACTATTCAAACGCAGAAATGATCAAGAATGATTGGATTTTAGTTGTTCTGAAATATGTCCCTTTTGGAGGCGACACATCAGTTACGAAAATCTTTCTGTTAGATTCTACCCTTTGTAATTTAACAAAAACCTGTCCATTGCAGGTTTTTAATCCTGCTTTTGGTTGAATTATTTTTGTGTCTGTTAATATCAAGGTCGAAGAGTTAACATGTCCATATTCACCCCAGCAGACGACAACTGTCATAAAAATGTCTTTAACACACTTACGATTGCGAAAGCCATTTGTTGTGACATCGGGTATAACTTGACTACCCCCATCGCTACGTATACCAAGGATAGAAATCCGGTCAGAAGGTGTTGTGCTAGACGAGTCATGATGGTTGTGACCTTGAACTTTGGTTGACCTTAAACAGAAAGCGTCATTCAGATGAAGAAATATTTAGAACATGTTTGTTTCAGCTTCAATGCAAGTCTTTACATGAATGAAATGTGAATAATTTGATTAATTCGAAGAACATGTTTGTAAACACAATTGGAAGAAAACCCGATGTCATTGTTTGGTTGAGTTTTTACTATCAATTTACTGGTTTGAAATCGTGTTCCACTTCAGGTAATCCACGCATCAATAAATTGTGATATCAAAATGGTAAAATGATTATTTTTCTTGTACTAAAAATGAGTTCATCATATTTAGTCGAAAGATCTTCCTTTACCTCGCGAGTGTTGCGAGAAAGGAAAGACAAATATATAAATGACTAAAAAGATATATTACAATAAAGATATTATTATCTATGTAGAGGTATCAAGAAAACCATTCATTAGAAAAAAATATGTGCTGACAACTAAACTTACCTCTTTGGTGATGTGGTCTGGCACTACACGATTGTAATACTGGGGATAGTGCACACGTCCGGGTGTAGTCTCAAATATATTGTAAACGGGTAGCCGGAAGATCTTGACCAGTATCAGACACCCTGGTATAATGACCAGAGGCAATGACATCCATCAAATCGAACTGACCAGATCAATACACCGTACATACATTGGTAGTTGGGTGGGTTTTGACCGATGGCCTGGAGGGGCGGCCAATAATAAATGACTGGTCAGTTTATATATATATATATATATATGTCATTCAAACCAACCGGACTTCCTTTTTTCTTCACCATTCGTTTTATTATTTTCTTAAACTAAGATTTCGATATCTGAACTAATTTCAAACGGTAAAATCAGATCCGAGAACACATAGAATACAGTTTACGCCCCTGAACAATTTCCAAAATGAATAAAAGAGAGATAGAGAAAAATGAAACACTCGGATTACATGGTCAAATTTAGAGAAGAAGACTGTATTATAAATGTGAAATGTATAGACATTTACTTCCAAAGCCGAGTTTTGCTAAACTCTCCTGACAGGGAATTCGAACACGTAGAACTGTCAATACACACGTTGTATACAGGAGGTTGGTGAAAATACCAACTTACTTTACGTGGTCCCAGTATATCGAAACAGAAATCTGAAACTATCCTCTGAGTCAGACATATTTAGACACCGAGAATGAGGCGACTAATGCGGATACATCTTCTGTGTTATGTCTTGTACTCGGCGAGACATTGGCGCTCCATACACCCGTCCTCTTATGACCCTGGGTGTTGGTGTACGTTCTATCTGGAGCTAACGCAGGAAGTCCTGAACTTGAACCCTCGTTTTTACATTTTCTTTCAATTTTACGAAGGATTACTCACCTTCTTTTGACCCATGGCTTTCAGCTCACAGGGTTTTCACTTTATGAAACAATATCGAGCCCTTTTTTTAATCCCTTGGGTTCTCCAAACATTTTTGTCCAGTAATTCGGTAAGAAACGGTCGTCATTATCAACGATTTTAAACAAAATATTCATCTTCACCATATTTTTCATTACTGTTAATTTCTAGTCAGCAATAACTCTCTTACCCATAAGATCTCAATTAAAGCCGAGTGACACATAAAATTCCATTTAAGTTACTAACACGAGTTTAAAATTTTAAAACGTACATAGTAACATCCAAACTTATTACAAAGCAAAACTGGCATTTGTTTCCATATCAGACATTCGAATTCGCTTGGTCAGTTGGCGCATTAACCTTTCATCGCACTCCATAGGGTCAAGAAAAGAGATTTAGGTCAGCTCGCCATAATTTTTCTGAAAGTTGTACGTCATTTGCTTTGAAATAAAACAAAATATCTAGTGAAAATTTACATAGGATTATATCATAGCCGAAAAATTGGTTGATTCTTTTCCATCTCGGACACTATAGTTGCATCAATGCAACAGGGTCCTGGCACAAATTCTCCACCAACGGTCCATATGTATGTATTACAGTGACTAAAGTACATGGGTAATGGACCATAGATTTGGAATTCGTGCCAAGACCCTGTGGTCAGTGCTAGCACACTTCACATTGGACTAATCCGATAAGGCGATCTGTGTAGTTATCAAGACGTCAAACTTGGATGTTAAAAACTTCTATACATAAAACACATAAAAAGATGTTACGAAATGTTAAAAGTATATTAGCGGATTTTAAGCAGCATTGGGCGTTTACACTACCGAAATCATCGTGCGTCGTAAATTACTGATGACGTCACAAGAAGAACATGTATCTTTCACCAGCTATTTCATGCGATCTACCCATGCATTGTTGTGGCTATTTGGACACAGTCACAAAACCATTGTTCCTAGAACCTGTTTTGGTCTTATTTCTAGTTAATCTGATGTCTTATCGTCTGTGAACAAAATCATATCAGGTCATCAAGTACTAAAACATAAATTTAAGTACAAATCAACAGTGACATATATAACGTTATGTAGGTCTCTGAAATTAAGTACAGTACTCAAATAATGTTTCTATACTGGGCATATGTAAATATTTCGACTTATTCTTATAAGCGATAAAAAAAAATGGTGAACACATCTAGGTTTGTTAATTGTTTTTAATTTTCACACACTTTCACACGCACATACAAAATAACAAAAAATATCACTGTTAATTTTTTCATCTCAATGTTTTTAAATTATAGTCCTTTCTAAACAAATGATCATAGCAGAATAAAACATCTAAGTAGGAAAATGTGTACAGTGTAAACAGTCAATGGTATCTTGCTGCAATTCTTTGGTTGAATGTTCATATCTTTTACAGTCATGTCAATTTATTTGAAATAATGCAACAAAAACATTAATAAATTAAAAATGCAAATATCAACACACTGAATACCAAATTTGGATTTTATCACACAAAAATATTGATGTCTGTAAACTTGTGCTAAAAATGGATTGATGAAACATACTGTTGTAGTTGATTAGTTTTCAAGTACAATGTACAAAAAAAGTATACTAGATTATCACGTTATATATATATAATACTGTAATATACATATAATTTGAGTTATTTAAACAGTTATTTCCGAATACATATGAATAAATTTCTATTTAGAAAAATTTTAGGATTCTTACCTGTCTATTCAAAGATAAGCCAATGTTTCTAAATTCACAAGAAATACCTACAATGGTTGTGGGGGCCCAATCAAGGCTTATTGCAGGTCTTAACAAGGCGTATTGCAGGGGTTAATATGTCTATTTTGTTTCGACAAAAATAGAATATATCAATAGATAGCCAGAAAGAAGTACTCTATCCAGGTCTGATATTCAAAATTACACCAACATAAAGTAAACATCAAGTAAACATATGTATTAGTACTGATTATTGATACATGAGCATTTACATCATTAATATAACACTTGTATAAAAAATAATCAAGTAATTTATCACTTCAACAATAACACACCTTATAATATCCTGGGCACATCTTAATGTTAACATCAAAGTCCAGTTTCATTTGAAATCAATTTAAAATTGAGTGCTTTACCTGCTGGATGTGTCTAAAAGGAGGTTTTCAGAATGCAGGGCTCTCTATCTGCCAGATTTGGGGCCGAATATTCCCAATGAAAATAGTATCTTTTTTTCCCAATTTAGACACCAAGTTTTCCCAATTCTAAGGAAAACGCCACTATTTTTCCCAATTCTAAGGGCCCCGGGCCCAAGTCCCAAAATGGGGTGTGAGAGCCCTGGAATGAAGTAATCCTCAAGTTAGATTAAAGTAATTTCATTCATTTTCCAAAACAGTAAACTCAATTACAGCCAAAGGCATTTCACCTCTTGAAATGCATTACTTGCTTGAAAAAGAAAATGAAATAACATAAACAGTATTATTTTTTTTGTTTTTTTTTTTTTCTTTTTTCTCTTTTTTCTTTTTGATACCTACATTGTCTTAAATATTAATTTCAATCCTTTTAAAGATTCTTTCTTACAGAAAGACCTTTAAACAATATCACAATAAAAGATGGATTTTGATTGTAATGCAGCATATAACTGGAAAATCTACGAGTAAATCAATTATATAATGTAGACTTTGGCAAGAACCACAATGCATTTTATGCAAGAATGTAATCTATCCATTATTTACAAAGTTATTTCATTAATGAAATGTGAATTACAAGTGTAGCTTTTGTCCTCAACAGGAATTTATATAGCAAAACCAGCACAAATACATAGTACCTGAATACTGATTGAAATTTAGACAAAACATATGAGTTTTTAAGCACAATTACATTGTGCCTGAATACAGGAAATGATCCCAGAAAAAAATATATGAAAAACACTGCAGAGAAAAAAAATCAATTCTATTCGCAGAACTATGTGTTCTTATATCAAATCTTTACCAGGACTCCTCTTGTGCTCCATTCCAACCTTAAAACATATAAAACCAAATTGTCGCATTGTAAATGCTGGCTTAGGTTATGATAATGTGTATCTAGTTTCACAACAACAGCACTGTGGAGTGGAACAATATACACCCGTCCCAGGTCAAAGAGATTTCAGGATTCATTGTATTGAAAAGAATATATATATTGAAAAAGTAATAATGAGTAAAAGATGTCCTCAAGAAATTGGCTGAATATTGAGAGAGGAGATCTCCTGACAATAGTAACATTATGATCAAAACATGGGGCAATAACTCTTTCAAATACAGTCAAATCAAGCTGCTTTTCTGGGAAATACAACTTCAAATTCCTGTCATAGGCATACGGAGGAATAACACCATGCCATAAAATGTCCTGTCAAAATTTTTGATAGCATAAAAAATTTTGTTGCGAGTTGAAGTTTTACTGAAAAGATTAACTTATCAACTTTCCAGTTCCAGAATACTACTCTGAAATTTAATGTAAGTGATATGATGAAACATGAAGGAAAATTTAGATAAGTGACAGTATTAAAAATAAAAATAGATGTTCACTTGAAGTCTGGAGAAAATCACTGCATATTACTGTTTCTACAATATACATTACTGCATCGGCACTATAAAACCTGAAATGTCTGTTGTCCCTTGTCTCATTCAACAACTGATTACTATTTTATAGTTTGACAACTTTTAAACAACGACTTTTGAAGTCGATATTCCTTGACAAAAAAAACCTCAACTGGCTTTCCCTATATTTTTTTTTTTTTCATTTGTCTTCAACAAAACACATGTATTATTGTCCAAGGCCTCAGAAGTGAATGCTGATGTTTCATCCCTAATTAACCTTAACTGATTTGGCTTCTTTCTGCATGGTTGCCCATAACACATACATAGTCCACATCAAATACACCGCCGGAACAAGGCTGGGAAGAAACTCCAGTAAGACCAAATGTGTGAGTATTGCTCCTATCATAATTGTAATCAGGATGCAACATCCCACCTTTTTCAGTCCTGTGGGACCCACAAGAACTCCCAAAGCACTTGATACTTCCATGGATCCTACGATTATTCGGTACAAATCTCCATCTGGAGGGTAACCCATCCATGCAGTGGGAAACACTCCATTATAAATCTTAAACTTGCTAACCTGAAAGTACACAAAAATGTCATAGAAATTATATACTTCTCACGATTTACATTGATAAGAAAAGTAACAATGTATCAATTATTGTAGTTGACACTAAGGAGGAAAAAATCTTTTAGTTTACTAACATAAGGTTAGATCAGCCACACTTCTGGCCTGTGAAATCTTCATGTAAGATCTAGCTGATAAATATCTGATTTAAACGTATTCATTGTGATTCTTTGGACTTCTTAAAGTGTACAGTATGTATGCTGTAAACTTAACTGCCATCAACATCATGAATATCTGACCTTAACAGAAATGTACACAAAAATTTCAATCTTATATCTTGCATTCTTATAAGGGCAAAAAGGAGTTATTGCCCTTTTCCTGGTAAAATTGCAAGATGTTTCAAGTAAACAAACGAGCCTGATAAAAAAGTGATGGATTTGAAAGAAGAACAATCTGAATTGACTTATGTCCTGGTAGATTTTTTGCCTATCTTAGTTCTAATATTCAAGTTTCTTAATAAATATTTTTTACCCAAATGTGTAGCCTTTATATACAGTACAGGCCCTTGTTCATCTTCATAACAATGATGCAAATATTTACTTCACTAAATAAGTTGAAATGATTAAAGATAAATGAAACAGGCTCTGGCAAACAACATCTGCTTTTATAAATCTTCTTCAGTTTAAGTTAATGATTCCTGTGATTACATGATGACATTCTGTTTTTTGCAAATATCGCAGAAAACACACCTTTCCATGCCATTCTTGCTATTAGAGAATCCAGTAGTCTCAATTTATAAGCTTAATGATTGAAGAAATAAAGAATTTAATCACTTCATAAGTTTTTTCCATTCTGATTACATGAAACATTTGTGCATATTGACACAATTTCATTATCGCATTTATTTATAAACTTGTGATAGTTTTGTAGCAGAAGACCAACTTACCATTTCCTTGTATACTGTGGGAAAAAAAGGATATAACTTCATAAGCCCTGTGGTTACAAACAACAGTGGAAGTAGCGAGCACATGATGGTTCTACCGATGTTAGTCATGGTTAGATAGCAGGCAAAACAATGGAAATGGATAATCTTGGATCTGAAACATTCAATTATTAAAATAAATATTTCAAAAATAACAATGCATTTGGTTCAGTGCCAGATTTAGAGGATTTCTGATAGCAGAAATACTGATTACTTGTAATTTTCTTTTGAGAATTTTTGGGATCCATCCACGATCCCTGTGGTCAATTTCAACATTAGATGATATTACTTATATGCAGTGACATATACTTCAAACTATAATTTTACCTAATTCTTGTACTTACCGATCACCTGGTAATTAAATTTCACCATTTGCTGAGACTAGTAATGTGACCTGTACTCTCAGTTTTTACACTAATCTGTCCTTCCTAAGTCTTTTCCCCCTCGACAACTACAACATCCTGTACTACCAAGGAAGTGTCTCATTATTCTATACCTTCTATTTTTTGGTTGGCCATTGGCACCAATTATGTATTTGGAAGGAGGGGCATTGAAAAACACTCGGTCCCCATTCTGGTTCAAACTATTAACCATTCTGTCTCTAGATGGCCCCTCTCTTGCCTAAACAAGACTAGAAAGGCAACTTGTACTCTCAACTTCTACTCTGCCATAACACCTGCAACATTTAACAAAAATTGAACACAACTGTAACTTACACCTTCTTTCTAACTACTATATTTCTACTACCTATGTTAATGTATAGGTATTGTCTCCCTTTACTTAGCGTAATTGTGTTATTGCATGGTCTCTGGAGTTATCATATGTTGACAAAGTCATTGTACAGAAAAAGAAATGGGACAGGTGCTGGTCAGTCAGAAAATCTTTTTTATTTTTTACCAGTTTTGAAGGATATGTGGAGAGGGAATCTCAAGTTTTAGTTACAGTGTCTTTTATGTTGACAAAGTCACTGTACAGAAAAAGAAATGGGACATGTGCTGGTCAGTCAGAAATCTTTTTTATTTTTTACCAGTCTTTAAGGATATGTGGAGAGGGAATCTCAAGTTTTAGTTACAGTCTCTTTTAGAAAATTGTAAACAAGAAAAACAAAAAAAATCCCACACAGTTAAAGGGTCCATCGACTGTAAACACATGGTGAGGCCACTCAGTTTGGATAGCTGAAATTTACTTCAATGACTACATTGTACATATGTATATATTTCTTATGGCTTGGTACTTGTAATGGTATCTTTCCTGACAGTTTTTTTTCTTTTTGTTTTGTCTTTAATAACAGGTGATTTTCTTTTTTTTTGTTTCTAAGAAAATGTATGAGCTATGAATATATATTGCAGAGAGCACAGTTGCTTTGTTTCAGAATTTTCAGAAGTGTCCCTGGGAACATTATCAAACATCCAATAAAATTGAGTCCCAAAGAGGAATCCCAGAAGTGATTAAATACTTCAGAGTGTGTATAAATACTTTGTTTATAGTGTTGTGGTTATTAACTGATATCATATATACATTACTCAAAATCCAGAAACCGAGCTCCCTTGTTAGAGAGCGATAAACAGATAAAAGGAGTGTGTAACAAGTTACTGGAAAACCTAGCTCTCACTGTTTATAAGCAATACTTGATAATTGGAGAGAGGCAGTCATTGTGCCAATATTCAAAAGAGGCAAATGGCACCGGCCATCCGATTACCACCCTGTCTTGCTTACTTCAGTTTCATGCAAGGTTTTGGAACATGCGATTCAATTCACAGTCATATCATGGATCACTTTGACAGGTTGAAGGTACTCACTGACAAGCAGCATGGCTTTAGAAGCAGACATTTGAGTGAGACCTAGCTGATTGTTACCATTGAATGTATTGCAAAGTCGCTCGCCCATGGGAAACAAGTAGGATCTGACATCACTGCAGTGACGGGAACACAAATATGTTTGGTGATCTACATGATCAACAAGCAGTACCCACTCCAGACCAGTTATACATAACATGGCCACACTCTGGAGGAAGTCAGCAGTGCAAAGTATCTGGGTGTGACAATTCACCATAAGCTATGCTGGAACACATCTCCAACATCAGGACTAAGGCCATCAGAACCCTAGGATTTATCCAGGGATGCAAACCCTACATCAAATCTATGACTTGTCAGACAAGTGCGGGACCCATACCAACATGTCCACATCAGGATTTTCAAGGGGGTAAGGTGGGGTGGGTGGGGGGTAACCTGTTTCATAACAGGCAATTACAGGGATCTAGCCCAGGGTTCATGACGGCCATGCGTGGTGCAGGACCTTCAACGTGACATCCTGGAACATAACCGTACAACATCAGGCTCGTCATGATGTTTAAAATCTCTAAATCATTTAATTATTTGACATTTATGGGGCAAGATACCTGACACCATGTGATAGCAAGACAAGAGGTGAACTTATATTACTTTAGTAAACAGCATCAAAGGAAGTAACCGACAAATCCTTCTTCCTCCACACCATCCGAGACCGGACCGGAATACCATCATCCGTGAGGGTGACAACACAACTACAGCAGCATGCTAAAGCTAGCTTGACATGTTACATTTGTATCCATTTATGACTTTAAATACTACCAGAAGATTTTAAGCCGTACTTGTCAAGATGCCATGCGGCAGTGCATATCTACACTCCATCGCGGGTCACGCATTAAGTTAGTTCACAGGTCGGAGATCATTGTGGGATTATTAGAGAGATTGCTCTGGCCGCTGACAATGGGATAAAAAGCACACTACACTTATAGTAAGAAAATTCGGTGAGATGGATTAATTAACGATGACCTCTTAAAAGAAGCACTACAAGTGAGTGGATTGCTTGAAATACCTTGTTGGGCGATTTTTTTTTCCCCTCTCAACTCGTTATTCAAGTTCTCGCTTAGTTGATTGTAACAAGTTGAAACGACATCCGGAACATGGGTTTAAAAAATAAACATAAATAATCCATGATAGTTGAAATTTGCTGTTTATACTTTTTAAAGTATTATCTTTTCTTTGGTGAGATTGAGACTGAGCATTTGATACGTAGATATAACAAGATATAATAAAATTGTTTTATTTCGGAAACATTCAGGAACATCCGTACTTAGTTTTTACTTCCGGATGAGACGAAGACAGCTTCAGTTTCAGGTAAGTCTAAAAACAACGTGTTTTGCGCACATGCATACTAGTGTTGAGGCACTTTTTTTCTTTTTTATTTGTCATCCGATACCATGGTGCACATAGCTAAGTAGATGTAACAGTTTATTAACAAATGACAGCATATATAATGTGTATTTATAGCAAACTGAAAGTACATGTATTTTTTTACGTAGTGGTAAATCGGTACAGAGAGAGAAAGAAAGTAAGTATTTTTTTCACAAATTGTTATTTTACATATGGTAATTCCACTAGTTAATTGCGTTGACCCTTTCAGTAGCATGTGTCTTAATTGAACATTTTGGCACTGCTGTACTGAGGATGTTTGTTTACACAACAATAGCAAAGTTACCTGTACATCTGTAGCTTGTAGCATATTATAAACAATTTGTATGAACGTGTCTGTATTTTCCTAAATGCTTCTACTGTCTGTAGCTTGCATGATGACTTGAAGAATATGTCTAAATATAACCCAGTTACAAAAATATGTACATGTGTGCTTATTTGCTTCCTGGTTTCCAGCTCCATTATTATTTGCATATTTATGACAACAAATACATTAAAATATTCAAATACACATGTAATTGGCTGAAATACCATCATTTTTTGCCAAATATGACTATAGACTCTACAGTATGTACAAATATGCTTTTAACAAGCTTTTTATTAAGGGGCCTACAAGGAATATATATACATTAACAGTATCTGCGATTACTGTGTGTATACCATTAATCCACAATATACATGTACAACTATACAGAAACATATAATATCTGTATGTCGCTGAACTGTTTATAGTAATTAAGATACAACTTGGCTCAAAAAAAAAAAAAAAAAATTACAAAAAACAAAAATTTGTTAGAACATACATATAGGAAAAGGTATAAAGTTCAACATGGGATTTTCCAGCAGTGAACAAGTTTGTGGTGCTTTCATTATCTTCTATTAAAAGGATATATTTATTACTTAAAATCAAAACTTTTGAGTGAAATATTCATGATATATTGGGGAAAACCATTTGCTTAATCCAGAGATTGATTGATAGATATGAAAAAATATCTATATATCCCTCAAGTATCAAATACAAAAAGATGTCATATATATACATGCACAGGATGAATTTTACAACAAAATTTTAATTGAGGAAAATTTTCATTTTAGAGAATATATCCTCCAAACTCAACCAAGGTAGTGAATCATACCCCTTTAAACAATTCACAATACATTTAAGAAAGTGTGACAAAAAGTAGATGTGTAGTTTATATAATGTATTTTTTGTTACCAAGAACCTAGCTAGCTTGCTAACTCCTAATCAGTTTTCTTCTGAAAAGGGTTACATATAGCACTTCATAGATGAACTCTAGATAAATGTCCCTGACAAGAAGGTAAACAGTTGTATAAGTTTTGAAAATTCATATGATTAAAGAAAACTTATTCATTAGTCAGTCTTAAATATATTGATTCATGAGCTGAATAGATAGCAAGATACATATATTTTTTTTGGGGGTGGGGGGGGGGGGGGGGGGGGGGGGGGGGGGGGGGTTTAGAGAAGAGGAAAAATGAAATACCAAGTTTAATTCCTCAACATAAAAGATTTTTACCTTGCCATCATCAAACGGTGGCTATATCTAATTGTGTTTTGTGTGTCATCTGTTCATAATCAGTTGTTGTTATCATAATTTTTGAGAAGTACTTTAGAGATATTTCCCAAACTCTGTATGTTGGTTCCCTTCTGTCACTACTTGTGTCAATTCAATTTTGACTGATCAGATTGATCAGTGAAACAGAATGGGTGACAGGATTGTTACTGCTATTTCTCAAAAAGTTCTCGTTAGGAATTATATTTCATTTGTAGGATTCCCTTATCTATGATTAATTGATCAGGTATAGCCTTGGAGGAAATCTTAATACATTAGTACATAATAAGTGTACTCTACCTGGTCTGTGTTACAGGTGAAGCCACAGGTAATCTCAATACACTGACCAATTAGTGTACTTTTCCTGGTCTGTGTTACAGGTGTACAGTATAGCCTTGGAGGAAATCTTAATACACTGACTAATTATAATGACTAGAGGTACAACTAACTTGATGTAACAATTGACAAATGAGTGATGATTGGGAGCTGATGATAAGACACAAAATATATAAAGATACAGTTGTAGCACGTGTCTTCTTTCATCTGATACAATCAGTGACTTATCATTTTGCATTCAGATAAGATTCTTGAACAGAACACTTTCAGTTTATCTGTTGATAATCATGATGCAGACCAAAGATTACATTAATGATCAATAATTTCTGTAAATCATTCTAATTGGTATTAGAGGGACACGAAAAACAATAGCTAATTCCCCATCAAGAGACAACTAAAAATTTTAGTTGACATGAAAAATAAATCCCACAAAAAAAATTCACAAAAAATAATCTAAAAAAACTTGTTCTTGTTCTAATGAAATACAATGTAGGAAAACAAGGAAAGTTCTTCCAAATGGAGATTTCTCATCTTCATCAATAAAGCATTTGATAATCAGGAGTGGATCTAGATCTCTGTGGAATTATTTTAGCGTATTTACAGGACTGAAATAAATTGAACTTAAAATATCCAAACACTTCATATGACAAGACAAAACTGAGCAGTAAGAAGATGTTTAAGATAACTTTAATGGGTCCATTTGAGTGAATTATAAGAATATTTGAGTATATTTTGTGTATTTGAGCATATCATTTGAGTAAAAAGTCATGCCCCATAGATACACCTTTGCATTATACAGGAAATGAATACTATACATACGAGTCAGTGTATGTAACCGTTATCTCCAAAACCTCATTCATTTCAAAGACTTCTACAAATATGCAGTAATACTGAAGACAAAAAATGTACTGGTACACTGTCCCAATTATCATCACAGCAATGCACAAATTTCTACTGAAGTCATGAAAGCCAAAAATTGTGAATTGATTCAACAATTTTGGAAGTACAAATATCAGAAATCTTAGATATATGCAAGGACAGTGTTGATATGAACATTTGCATGCTTTTATTGAACATGTTCATTGAAAAAAAAAATAATTATATACAAGGTGGTCTTTATAGACAGGAATTTGGTATATATAGTGTTGGGTTTTAGAGACAGGTATTTGTTATATACAGGTGGTCTTAAAAGACAGGTATTTGGTATATACATGTGTCCTTTTTAGAGAAATATTTGTTATATACAGGTGGGCATTATAGACGGGTATTTGTTATATATAGATGTCCTTTATAGACATGTATTTGTTATATACAGGTGGCCTTTACAGACAGATATTTTTTATATGCAGGTTTCTTTTAAAGACAGGTATTTGTTATATACAGGTGACTTTTATAGACAAGTAGTTGTTGTATACATGTGACCCATATAGATAGGTATTCATTGTTTACAGGTGGCCTTTATAGACAGGTATTTTTTATATATAGGTGACCTTTATAGACAGGTATTTGTTATATACAGGTGGCCTTAATAGATAGGTATTTTTATATATAGGTAACTTTTATAGACAGATATCTGTTTCATACAAGCAGTCTTTAAGGCATCTTTGACTGTAGTGTATTTTAATACCTTGTATACTGAAAACATTATGGAAGTAGTTTCACTTGGGTCTCAAATAAAATTAATCAATAGTTTTCCTCCTTCTCTCAGGGTAAATGCATTGCAGACTGATGAAATTTATAAGTTATTGAGACCGGATCGGTATGGTGAAGGTAGGACTACAACATGATAGAGTAGGAGAAGATCAAATTGACGGATTTGGATCTGAACAGTCATCTGGTGCAAGTGGCTCATCCAACTGGAATCAGAAAAGAAAAGATGAAGATGAAGGTGATCTGAAATATGAGTTTAACAGATTGGAGACATTCTTGTTCTGGCCTGAGGAGTCCCCAGTTAGTGCTAAAGCACTTGCTGAGGATGGATTTTACTTTTTAGGACCAGCTGGTGAGGATCGTGTGCGCTGCGTGTTTTGTGAGGTGGTTCTTAAAGGATGGGAACCAGGTGATGTTGTCTCAGACGATCACAGGAAATTTTCAAATGGTTGTCCATTTAAATGTCAAGCCAATGTAGGAAATGTTCCATTTTTTGGGCCATCTGATAGCTGGAATTCCTATAATTATGAAATGATCAGCTGGAAGAAAAGATTACTCTCTTACGAGAAATGGCCAAAATATTTGGCTCAGAAACCAAGAGTGCTAGCAGCTGCTGGGTTTTACTATAAAGGTAATGTTACATACATTTACTATGATAATGTCACCCAGGAGCCTAGTCCATAATTTCTGACTCTGAGTAGGGAAGGGAAACTTCCTATTGCCAATTGATTACAAGGTACAAATACAATTTGACATTTGTTGTCATCTTGGCAAAACTGAAATAGATCTCAATTGGATTAATACATGTACCCGCCACTGATCATTTACCAGATTATGATGAAGTAACAGTATCTCCAGACTCAAAATTTAAAAGTATTTTCCCACATTGTCAAGTAGAATGATTAACTCTTTGTTCTACAAAATGTAAAATTTTAAGAATTTAAAACCGTTGGTGTTTTAGTTCCTCTTTATAAATATAATTGCATTAAAGATGATAAGAATAATATATCTTTGAGTGAATTTCAGATATCTTATGAAAGTTGAAGTATTTATTCAAAATCTATGTAAGTGAAGTTTCCATTTAGATTTATTTCTTTAATAACATATATGTAAGTGTTTTATTTGTGTTGAAGGTCGTGGAGACATTGTGCAGTGTTTTTGCTGTGCAGGAATAGTGAGACAATGGCTGGAAACAGATGACCCATGGCTGGAGCACATGAAACATTTCCCAACGTGTTATCATATTCTAGAAAATATTGCATATCATAAAATGCCATCATCTTTTCACGATATGCCACCCCCTGGACAAGTACCCAGGCGACCTGTTCAACCCTCAGCAACGCCGATTGACAGACCAAATACATTACAACGCTCAACTTCAGAGATTGCCTTGGCGATGGGATACAGGGAGGACCTTATTAGAATATACAGGCAGTATCTGAGAGCACAAGGCTGTAAGCATAGATTGTATTTAGTATAATTAGTATCACTATGAAGTATTCTTTGGAATTATGTCGTCAATGTTATGAAGTCTTAGAAATATTTCCTTATGACGAAAAATCCAAGATGGCGGACACATGTACATCTCGTGAACAGGGGGATTGCCCGCAAATAAGCTCCCTCCCCTCTTTTGACAAGTCTTTTTGAACTGGGTTGGGGGCTTATTTGCGGTAAAATGCGGTACATAAGAAACTATGCACATAAAATATATACATAAAGTATATAGATGTAATATCAACATTAGGAACATATGAATATATATATTACTTAGGTCAATATTTCCCTTGTTCTGATTCGATAAGAAATTATTACCTGCAGGTCAATATATACATATATAACATATGGACTCCACATTTCTAAGTTTAGAACAGCCTGACCATATGGATCCCTGGAACAGGCTTATGTTTGTGTCTTAGAGGACAATTTGTATAGTCGTTTCAATTATTTAAAACTCTTAAGGGTTAAGAAAGTTTTAGTTAGAAAATGAACACATTCATTATCAATATATCATGTATTTGTTTGAATGTTGAATTTTAAGGTTAAGACTATTATGATGTAATATTAAAATTAAGGATCTTTGATTTCAATTAGTTGAATCTCAGTCAGTATTATACTACCATGATAATATGATATCATATTTACCACACCAAAGGTCAGTATTTGATCAATATAAACTCAGATGCTCTCAAGGATCAGTTTCTTTGTTTTGAAAAACTTTTTGAAAAGTTTGTAACACTTTTTTAGGACTTGTGCAACTAAATCAATCACTATATGATATGACTTAACATTTTAGCTAATGGCATTAATATTTGAAGTTCAACACAAGTAACTACTGTCTAGTTTTATAGAACCATACCTGTCAGGTTGAACAGCATCTCGGACTGTCATCTCCTTCAGAAGTCTAATGAAATATATATCCACTTTGGGAAATATTGACATTTTACACCTGTCTAAATCTGCCCCAGATATATTGAAATGTGTTGAAATAATACATTTTCACAAAGCAAAATCAATGAAGATTTCTCCCATATATTAAAAATTAGAAATTTAATCTCCAATCTTTTACCAAATCACATTTTAGGCGGGGACTCTTACAGGGTGAAACAGAATGCCATTTGCTCCTTGGCTGATTAAGTGTGTAGCCCTTTTATTGCTGATTAAGTGTGTAGCCCTTTTATTGCTGATTAAGTGTGTAGCCCTTTTACTGTTGATTAAGTGTGTAGCCCTTTTACTGCTGATTAAGTGTGTAGCCCTTTTATTGCTGATTAAGTGTGTAGCCCTTTTATTGCTGATTAAGTGTGTAGCCCTTTTACTGTTGATTAAGTGTGTAGCCCTTTTACTGTTGATTAAGTGTGTAGCCCTTTTATTGCTGATTAAGTGTGTAGCCCTTTTACTGTTGATTAAGTGTGTAGCCCTTTTACTGTTGATTAAGTGTGTAGCCCTTTTATTGCTGATTAAGTGTGAAGCCCTTTTACTGTTGATTAAGTGTGTAGCCCTTTTACTGCTGATTAAGTGTGTAGCCCTTTTATTGCTGATTAAGTGTGTAGCCCTTTTATTGCTGATTAAGTGTGTAGCCTTTTTACTGTTGATTAAGTGTGTAGCCCTTTTACTGCTGATTAAGTGTGTAGCCCTTTTATTGCTGATTAAGTGTGAAGCCCTTTCATTGCTGATTAAGTGTGTAGCCCTTTTACTGCTGAATAAGTGTGTAGCCCTTTTACTGCTGATTAAGTGTGAAACCCTTTTACTGCTGATTAAGTGTGAAGCCCTTTCATTGCTGATTAAGTGTGTAGCCCTTTTACTGCTGATTAAGTGTGTAGCCCTTTTATTGCTGATTAAGTGTGTAGCCCTTTTATTGCTGATTAAGTGTGAAGCCCTTTCATTGCTGATTAAGTGTGTAGCCCTTTTACTGCTGAATAAGTGTGTAGCCCTTTTATTGCTGATTAAGTGTGTAGCCCTTTTACTGCTGATTAAGTGTGAAACCCTTTTATTGCTGATTAAGTGTGTAGCCTTTATTGCTGATTAAGTGTGTAGCCCTTTTATTGCTGATTAAGTGTGTAGCCTTTATTGCTGATTAAGTGTGTAGCCCTTTTATTGCTGATTAAGTGTGTAGCCCTTTTATTGCTGATTAAGTGTGTAGCCCTTTTACTGCTGATTAAGTGTGAAACCCTTTTATTGCTGATTAAGTGTGTAGCCCTTTTATTGCTGATTAAGTGTGTAGCCCTTTTATTGCTGATTAAGTGTGTAGCCCTTTTATTGCTGATTAAGTGTGTAGCCCTTTTACTGCTGATTAAGTGTGTAGCCCTTTTATTGCCGATTAAGTGTGTAGCCCTTTTATTGCTGATTAAGTGTGTAGCCTTTATTGCTGATTAAGTGTGAAGCCCTTTTACTGCTGATTAAGTGTGTAGCCCTTTTATTGCTGATTAAGTGTGTAGCCCTTTTACTGCTGAATAAGTGTGTAGCCCTTTTACTGCTGATTAAGTGTGAAACCCTTTTATTGCTGATTAAGTGTGTAGCCCTTTTATTGCTGATTAAGTGTGTAGCCCTTTTATTGCTGATTAAGTGTGTAGCCTTTATTGCTGATTAAGTGTGAAGCCCTTTTACTGCTGATTAAGTGTGTAGCCCTTTTATTGGTGATTAAGTGTGAAGCCCTTTTATTGCTGATTAAGTGTGTAGCCCTTTTATTGCTGATTTTGTGTGAAGCCCTTTTACTGCTGATTAAGTGTGAAGCCCTTTTATTGGTGATTAAGTGTGAAGCCCTTTTATTGCTGATTAAGTGTGTAGCCCTTTTATTGCTGATTTTGTGTGAAGCCCTTTTATTGCTGATTAAGTGTGTAGCCCTTTTATTGCTGATTAAGTGTGAAGCCCTTTTATTGCTGATTAAGTGTGTAGCCCTTTTATTGCTGATTTTGTGTGAAGCCCTTTTATTGCTGATTAAGTGTGTAGCCCTTTTATTGCTGATTAAGTGTGAAGCCCTTTTATTGCTGATTAAGTGTGTAGCCCTTTTACTGCTGATTAAGTGTGTAGCCCTTTTATTGCTGATTTTGTGTGAAGCCCTTTTATTGCTGATTAAGTGTGTAGCCCTTTTATTGCTGATTAAGTGTGTAGCCCTTTTATTGCTGATTAAGTGTGAAGCCCTTTTATTGCTGATTAAGTGTGTAGCCCTTTTATTGCTGATTTTGTGTGAAGCCCTTTTATTGCTGATTAAGTGTGTAGCCCTTTTATTGCTGATTAAGTGTGTAGCCCTTTTATTGCTGATTTTGTGTGAAGCCCTTTTATTGCTGATTAAGTGTGTAGCCCTTTTATTGCTGATTAAGTGTGAAGCCCTTTTATTGCTGATTAAGTGTGTAGCCCTTTTATTGCTGATTTTGTGTGAAGCCCTTTTATTGCTGATTAAGTGTGTAGCCCTTTTATTGCTGATTAAGTGTGTAGCCCTTTTATTGCTGATTAAGTGTGTAGCCCTTTTACTGCTGATTAAGTGTGTAGCCCTTTTATTGCTGATTAAGTGTGTAGCCCTTTTATTGCTGATTAAGTGTGTAGCCCTTTTATTGCTGATTAAGTGTGTAGCCCTTTTATTGCTGATTAAGTGTGTAGCCCTTTTACTGCTGATTAAGTGTGTAGCCCTTTTATTGCTGATTAAGTGTGTAGCCCTTTTATTGCTGATTAAGTGTGTAGCCCTTTTATTGCTGATTAAGTGTGTAGCCCTTTTACTGCTGATTAAGTGTGTAGCCCTTTTATTGCTGACTAAGTGTGTAGCCCTTTTATTGCAGATTAAGTGTGTAGCCCTTTTATTGCTGATTAAGTGTGTAGCCCTTTTATTGCTGATTAAGTGTGTAGCCCTTTTATTGCTGATTAAGTGTGTAGCCCTTTTATTGCTGACTAAGTGTGAAGCCCTTTTATTGCTGACTAAGTGTGTAGCCCTTTTATTGCTGATTAAGTGTGAAGCCCTTTTATTGCTGATTCAGAGTATCTTTCTTAGTTTAAGGTTTTATCATTGTGTTGTACTATGTTATCTATTTGAATTTTGTCTCGGCAAATGTGCTCTTTTTAAGTTGATTAGAGGATGTAGATATTTTGAGTTCTGAAAAAGAATGCTTTTAACTTATTTGAAGTTTTGGTGTTTATGTTTGATGCTACATTGCATGACAAATTTATGTTCAGTATGAATTCTTTTGCTGAATATTCGAAAGATTTTGAAAAAAATGATATATTGTGAATTTGGCAATAGTGAAGGTCAGAGGTCAAATGTCAAAGTCAGAGTCACTCAACACATGTATAAGGTTACAAAAGTCATTCATACTCGAACCCAATATGAATGTTTGTCTTTTATAACATTGATATTGTAAGGACACATCCCCACCAGATTACTTTGATTTTTCTTGTGCCTTATTATTTTAGGCCCAGAAGCAGAGGATCCTAACCAGTTTATTCTTGACTTAGAAAGGTTCAAAGTTCAACCAGAAACACAGTCACCAGGAAGCTGTAGTGGAGAATACACAACTGATGGTGCTAGCCTTGCACAGACTTGTGATAGAAGGAGTAAGTTTAAATCTGTAGAATGCATTTCTCACATAGGTGATGCTTATTATAGCAATTGCTTTACAATGATTTCTTTCATATTTGATGCTCTTTAATGTTTGTTTCACTTTGGTGTTCAGATGGGTACAATTTTAATACAACCCAGCAAAAACCATGTCAATACCAAACTAAAATTGAAAATCATTGTACAATCTATATATATAAGTAAACCCTACTGGAATGTTTTACAATTTTTCATTGAAGTTACATGTTTACATGTTTGTTTTCAGCACGACTTAAGAGCGTTTCCTCGTTCTGTTTAAAATGTGATAGTCCAGATGAACCAGACTGTTGTTATGTAAAACTGGACTGTGGTCATTCTGCTTGCTGTGAAGGAGATGCTTTTGACATTGTGACATGCAGAGATTGTAATCAGAAGGTGAAGGCTTGTCTGAAGATCCCAATGCAAGAAGATTGAAGGAATACTGTAGAATTCGATTAATTCTTATTTAGAACTCTCTGAAGTGACGTTCTTAGTACACCATTACTGAATGGTGGGCTGTTCAAATTACTTAGGAAAGAAGAGAAAAGTGAAAAAGCTCTCAATTGGATCTCTTTTTTTTCTGATTTAGATAACTTTCAGTGGTGTGCTATACACATACAATTTATCCAAACTTTGAAAAGTGACTGCAATATAGGAAGTTTTCTATTGAAAAAAATCTAAAAAATATATGAAGAACATGGTTAAAAAAAACTGTAAATGATTACCATTTTTGTTTGTATTGTATAATTATTACACAATTGCCATGGAATGCAGTGAATATACTCATGTTCGTTTCTGTCTGTCGTTCGTCCGTCTGACATTAACTTTTCCATTCAAACATCTCCTTCCCAATTATTACCGGTAGCTGACCAAATGCCATGGTGTGTGGCTGGTGCATTGCTGGATTGAAGCCTGACTAAGAAATGACCTTGACCTATATACAAGGTCACGTGTAAAAATTTGTTGAAACCATTAAACATCTTCTTCTGACTATCCATAAGGTGCAGAAGCATGTTATTTGGGCAATAGATTTCTAGTATGAAGCCTGACAAATTTCGGAAAATAAATGACTTTGACTCCTAATTAAGGTTACAGGAGGCAGAATTGTTAAAACATTTAAACAACTTATTTTGACTTAGCAAAAGAAAAATAAACGTACTATTTGGGTGATCTGTTCCTAGGATGAGAAGCATAGTATTTGGGTGATATCTTCCTGGGATGTAGCTTGACAAAGTTTGCGAAAAGAAATGACCTTGAAGTATATTCAAGGTCACAGGGGTCTTTTTTAATCTGTTAAAACTTCACAACTTCCTTTTACTAACCAAAAGGTGCAGAAACATGGTATTTGGCTTAGAGCTTCCGAGGATGACGCCTGACAATTTTGCGTAAAGAAGAAAAAAACAATAGTCCAAGAAGCAGGATATTTGGTTGAAAGGTGTTTATAGGTCAAACATGAACATTAAATACCAGTGAGCGATGCAGGCCCATAGGGCCTCTTGGTGTGTATTACAAATATGTGTAATATTACCTGTTGTGATGTCAGGTTAGGTCATGAATTATGTCACCCACCCACATATTGCATTATGACTAATAATGGAGACCATAGAGATATGACAGTTCCCATTTTTACAATATTTTCCTTCATGTGATGAAAAGGATTTGAAATTTGTTTCTATTAAGTATTTATTTCAATATGAAGTAGAAACTTGGGACAAATTTTCTGTATATCACGAAACTGCTTTGTTACTAGTGTAATAGTAACCATGTATGTACAGTGTAAAATGACCTAGTGTAGATGTAAATGACACAAAGTTTCCACTGTTTACGTGGTAACGTCATGTATTATGACATCATTTAGATTGATATCAGTGTTATGAAATACTGTTTTCACGAATTTATCCAAGAATGTCAAAGTTTTGTAATAAACCATGAACTTAAAAAGCCCATAGATAAACTTGACAGATGAAGTACAGCTCAGGATTGATTATCCTGTCAGGGTGTTGTGTCTAGGTTATGATATTTCAGCGTGATAGCACTATAAAGGTGTCTGTCTTTTGCCCAATTATTCGTGGACGCCCTTCTTCATTTGACCCAGGCACCGGCTTGGACAACCACCCAAATATAACTTTGGAGAGAAATCATTCCAAAGTTTCAGTAATTATAATCTAGAGGATTATAATCTAGTCAGTTAATCTATCTTAAAAATTAATGTAGAAATAAAGAGGTTTTAGAGGCAATGAAGGATTTTCCTTAAAAGTGAAAAAAGTCATAAGTTAAGATCTGCCAGTTTCCATTGTCAGTACTCCAGGGGTTACGATAACTTTCACTCTCTTCACCCCTTGAACATGTCTTGACAAAACTGAAGGTTCCATTTACAACACGTTTTGGGCAATATGATAAGAGTAGCTTGATCCTTTGATGTGCATCAAAAGAATCTCGAGGTCGCATAACAATATATTGTTATGGCTTTGAAGTCGGATGCCTCTCCTTTGTAATATTCAGAAGGGGCGTATCGTCCTGTGATTGGTCAGTTTTTTTGTCTCCTGGAACCAATCAAATTACTTATCTTGTGCCTTCGATTTTGCCATGACATGTTCCAAAGGTGCAGAGAGCAAATGTGATTAACCTTTAGAATATCGAGGATGGCCTCAAAGTACTCAAAGACTTGGTGTTTTGATATATCAAGCATGCCCTGTAGTATATCAACATTGTTTACTCTTGACAGATATACAATGTAGCTTGAAAAGAGACAAGTGTGTGATTTTGATTTTTTTCGGTCAATTTAGAAACTAAAACATAATGTAAACACGTGAAGCATGTGTTGCATTTCATTTTTTATCGAAATGTTATTGACCCCAATTATATATTTTATTTTGCTGCATTTAAATATATCCCCTGGAAAATCACTTTCTGTCTTAAAAACCAATAGAAAGAAACTAATGTGGAACCACCTGCAGATTCGAAGTTTTTCATGTTTTAGTACTGTGTCGTCTTCTAAGTGCCACCCAAGAAACAAAAAAAATGGACTTTGCTCATATACAAAATACCGTATGTTTCATCTGTCACACCAACTAGTTACGATTTTTCGACCATGGTCGTCTTGTGATGACTAGTGATATTTACAGTAACTAACTTATTCAAATGTCAGGGGGATAGGAAAAATGTCAACCTTTAGTATTTTACAATTGAAAAAATATTTTCTGGATGTTATATTTTTCATTTGAACAGTTGAACGGGTGTTGCATTGCATTTAACAGATGATTAAACATGCATTATCATTTCAATGATTAATGGTAAACGACATTGAAACATTTTGAGCAAGTATCTGTGTTATTTGATTAACAGTGTATATGTATTTGTATTCGACTGGTTCTTTCAATATTCATGTACTATGAAGTAAAAGTTTTCCACTTTCATCTATTGTGGCATTTTACCGAACTAACTTGAAATAAGTCAGGCAGTAGAGGATTAAAATAACCAGTATGCTTATTTAACAGCCTTCTGTTTCATTTAATTATTTTCTGGATCAGAAGTTGCATTACAGTAATACATAGATACTTCTGTATGCTAATTCCACCCGTTTATTTGTCAACCTGTTTTCTTTTGGATATTGAAACTAAAATTAATAACGACCTAGCTAAAATTCAACATTGGGCAGAAAAGTGGCTTGTTAAATTCAATCCCCTAAAAACGGAAGCCTTACTTATTTCAAACATAGAGCATGATCATGTCATAGATATTAAATTTAATAATGTGAGTGTCGATTTTGTTGAACATCATAAACATCTAGGTGTAACTTTAGATGAGAATTGTAAACATATAGAAAACATTTGTAAAGATGCATCTAAACAGGTAAGTATCCTACGTAAATTAAAATGCATGTTAAATAGACAAACTTTAGTCAAAATCTATAAGGCTTATATACTTCCATTATTAGAATACTGTTGTGAAGTTTGGGATGGGTGTTCTCTCAGTGATGCAGACAAACTAGAAAAACTTCAGTTAGAATCTATCAGAATTATCACTGGTTTACCCTCTTATACCAGTAGAGAATCACTGTATTCTGAGAGTGGTCTAGAACCATTATCAGAAAGACGCACTAGAAGAAAACTACAGCTTTTCTACAAAATAGTTAATAATCTCACTCCAAATTATCTGTCTACTCTATTGCCCCCTTTAGTATCTGAAAATTCACAATATAACCTCCGTAATGCACAAAATTATTCTTTACTAAATTTCAGACTACAACTAACAAACTTATCTTTCTTTCCGTCCACTATCCGACTTTGGAACCAACTTGAACTTGAACTTAGACAAAGTGTTTCTTACTCTATCTTTAAACATTCTCTTCGACCCACTACACTAGTTCCATATTATTATTTGCTTGGTAGTCCTAAGGCTAATATACTACACGCTAGGTTAAGAAATAAATCCAGTACCTTAAATAATGACCATTTCAGATCCAATCTAATAGATTATCGTTTCTGTCAATGTGGACACCCTGTTGAAGATACTTACCACTATTTTTTTGTTTGTAATATTTATTCGGACCAGAGAGCCATTCTGTACCGAGAACTAAATAATTTTATCCCTCTAGACCTGCAGTTACTCCTACATGGTAGTATTATCTACTCATATGAAGATAATGTAAAAATATGTCAAATCACTCAGCAATATATACTTAATTCAAACAGATTTTGATCTTTATCTCTCTATCTACCTCCCTCTATCTCTTTCCGTGATAAATGTAAAAATATTTGGTCTCTCCTTGCTCCGACACAAGTGTTTTTTTTTTTTTTTTCTGAAGGACCCGGATGCCAGGAGAAAGCGATAATCGCACGGGATGTGATGAACTGTAGAAAAGTTTGGAAGTTATGAAAACCGTTTTGAATTTTTACTTGTGTTGTTTGTATCAGGAGAGACCGCTCTACATGAAGTTATTTAAACTCTCTCTCTCTCTCTCTCTCTCTCTCTCTCTCTCTCTCTCTCTCTCTCTCTCTCTCTCTTGTCTTTTTATATCTATTTTGTAAAATTTTATAGGAAAGGGCTTTATATAAGCTTGTTCAATCCTGCTTGTATACTTTGTACAAATAAAATATGTTTAAATCAAACCTGTTCTCTATAGCAGTGTAGTTAAATTCTGAAGTCTACTGTATGTATTTACTTTTCAAACAGTTGTAATATTGTTTTGATGTATCACCAAACCTGTTAAAGTAACAAAAAGCTATTAATGTGATGCTATTATTTTTCAGTATTTTGTAAAACACTCTGGTGGGTTTAGATACTTTTGTAAACTTATTTTCTATTTATGATACCAATGAGTTATTGCTACATTATTATTTATTTGTGATGTTGTATTTAAAGGGCTATGCATATATTAGATTACTATGGATGGTTATGGTTACAGTGAGGATGTATTCATCTGGGGTCAATGCTCTATCCATACAGGTGTTGTTTTCAAACAACGTTAAATATCTCTATGAATATTTATTTTTCAGAGTTCGTTCTTGCTGTAGCTATTTTATAATTTTAGATATATAAAAACACAATAGCAGTACACTATCACTTTAAAAGTCACCGTGTCTACATTTACATTGTAGATGGGTTTTACGATACAGTTGTAAGTATTCAATAAATCTACGTGATCTTCTATCGTTTTTATGGCAATTGGACATTAAATATTTACTTGACGGTGGTATTCAGGTGTGATGTAATGTTTATGACTTAAGGGTCCAAGTCCTAGTGTTTATTAGGGCCATTGAGCAGATCCAGTCAGCAGAACCTTGATCAATAACAAATAGATTGAATCCTGACTGCAGAATGTCTGGCTAATGTTGTAGTCGCTTCGAAAAAAAACATAATTGTTATAATTTTTGTACCGGTAGTAATAATAAACACATTCCTTCCCGGTTTCTTTAAACGAAATTGATACACGCTTGTAAACATACACATATATGTGTATATACTGCATTATGAGCACAGCTGTAGCATTCAAGCAGCTATGAGTGTATGGACGCTACAGCAATTTCCTTATTATTACCCGTAAGGTGTATGTACATGAACACAAAAGAGGACGGAAAGGGATAAAAGCTAATAATTGGGCGTAAACTGTTACACTGGGTTTGTGACATGACAATTTATTGGTGTTGTTGGCTACAAATGTGAATATACACAGCTAGCCTACATCACAAGGACTGTTTCATCTGGATGGTTTTGTAACACCAAGTGCGATATAACACGTTCAAGTGGTCTGACTTTTACTGTGGGAAAAACAAATACATCGTGCTTATCAGTGTACGTTTGTCCGTTAAGGAGAGAAACGATATTTTTCGCTGGATTGTGTCTCCTTGGTGAGGATTATATATTTTAAGCGAAAATGGCAACTTATCAACAGCAGCAGCAGCAGCAGCAACCAGTGATGATGTTAACAACATACAGCGATGGAGTCACTGAATTTACCTGCGACTTATATAGAGAGGTGTGTCGGGGAGAGGCTATTAACTCCGTGCTATCGCCGTACAGCGTTTCAGCAGCCCTGATGTTAGCGATGCTCGGAACAGAAGGGACATCCAGAAGACAGATTATCGAAGTACTTTGTTTGAATGACGTTCTAACAGAGAATATTCATGAAGAGTACCGTAAACTCCATTCGGAACTTAATGAAACTGGAAGTGATGTATTGAGAATTGCCAACAAAATATTCTCAAAGGAGGGATTGAAACTGAAAATAGACTATACAGAAAACTCCAAATTGTATTATGGAAGCGAAATGGAATTATTGAACTTTGGCGAAGATCCTGAGGGTTCTCGAAAGACAATCAATGACTGGGTTGAAGCACAGACTAACAATAAAATTCAGGATTTGATTCCCGCAGGGTCTATCAATGCGTTGTCTCTGATAGTTCTTGCCAATGCAATCTACTTTAAAGGGAGCTGGGAAACAAAGTTCCCTTTGGACTCGACATCAAAACGGAACTTCCATGTTAGCCTTACAGAGTCCATGAGTGTGGATATGATGAAAACAAGTAAACTAACTATTCCATTCGGTTGGTTCGGAAAGTATGACTGTACAGCTGTCGAGCTGCCGTACCAGGGCAAGAGAAGAAGCATGGTCATCCTTTTGCCAAATTCAGTTGATGGACTTTCAAAAATCGAGGACAATCTCTCTGTAATAATGATCAATGAAATAGTAAAAGGAATGCGGCGTCAGGAAATAGAGGTGGCACTACCGAAGTTTAAGATTGAAGCAAATTTTGATCTCAAGAGGGTGCTCTCAAAACTTGGAATTCAGGATGTGTTTTCTGCAGGAAATGCCGATTTAAGCGGAATGTTTGATTCACCCCCTGCTGACGCACATATCAGTGACGTAGTACACAAGGCATTTGTTGAGGTGAATGAAGAGGGAACAGAAGCAGCTGCGGCGACCGCAATAATGGTGCGTGCAATGAGTATCACTCAGCAGTTCGTAGCTGATCACCCCTTCGTTTTCGTTATCCGCGATGTTATTTCAGGAACTGTCCTTTTTATCGGAAAATTCACGCGCCCATCGTTGAGTTGAACATTTCGTTTACTTTTTGCTGTGAATCAGGAACTAGGAAAGAACCATCTGCTTAACCAGTAGTTATCTTTTTACCAATCGAGCGCCTATAAACTGGAGAAGAAGCATAGGTGTTTGAACTTGACGATAATTCTAAAGTCTGTAGAAAATGCCAGGACGCAAAACAAATTTGATCACCAAGGAATTTTAAACATAAAGCGATCATGATACGTTAAATACAAGTAAAATTGCTTTAATGTGAAGATATAATATATTGACATTGCAGACTTTCATTGCTTCTTGCTTTTTGATGTATTAACAAGAAAATAAATTATGATTTATGAAGATTTAAGTGGACATGCTGTTTAAAAAGATATATTATTTGACGACTTTGTTGATATATATAAAAAAATTGAGTTGCGGATATTTTCCCCCCATTATATCAGTGTTTTGCAAATGGAAAATACATTCTACCATATTATACATGTACATTTCCGTATGTATTTATTAGTCTTACGCATCGCATAACTATTTAAGGAGCATACTACGTTTGGCATAAAACATTTGCTTGCAATTCATTTAACTAATTTGAAAAACAAATCACAAGACTGAGCATGGTTATTTTTATAATCACTTTTAGCCTATATCGTAATAACATCGAGGAATTAGCATAATACATATAAAATAGTAACATTAATCGGCATGTTAACAAAAATGATGGAAGATTTTTTTGTTATTCAAAATACACTATACTGTATGATCATATTTATTTGCGGAACAGAATTTTCGTGACTTTTCATGGTGAAAAAGTTACATTTTCGTGGACATTTGATTTTACGGAAAAAAAGAGCTAAATAAATACTCATACTAATTAAGATCATATGAATTCATTGATTAAGATTATCCACGGAATTAACGAAAATAAATTTCCCACGAAAACTTATTATTCTACAGTATGTAATACCGTCGCAATGTTGTTTTACCGTTTCTTTTGTTTGTTTTCTCGAACACATGTTATAAAAGAATCACTGTTTTGATAATACAGTGTATGTTCCCTTTTGATTAATTTATCATTCTCTGATATACAATGTGTGTAATAAGAAGAGCTTTTTGCTATAAAATTTCATTAAATCAGAATGCAATTTGTTGTGCGGAGAGGGCTTAATTAATGTTGTAATAACTTGTGTCCAATCCCGCTACTGATGATTTTATGGCAATGAAATATGTTAGAATTGAAAAAAAATGCGATTAGAAACAAATTGTGTTGTTTGCAAATATAATAAAAATGCCCTTGTGGAAATCATACTTAAACGATGAATGTATGGAATACGTTATTTATATTTATAAACATTTTACAACTATTCTTCAATTTCTTATGCGGAAATTGTCCCAGGTAGACGGACATGTGACACCAAACCTATTACGTCAGATTCGGCAATCTAACCCTAGTCTCCATTGTTAGTGGAAGACAAAATTACGTGACACAGAGTAACATTTTGAACATGTTTATTTAACAAAATGATTAATCAGAACGTTTGCAATATACTAGCTGCCATAACAATATATCTGTGTGTAATAATTTACATCCCTTGTTTGCTACCATTACAAACATGTAAAATATTCCATGCACTTAAACACCGTCTAGTGTGACGTGTGCTTTCATTTCCTGTTTTGTAATATGCGTTTTACATCATAAATCTTATCAGTGTATAACATACCGCGGCTCCATAAAACCACATACGGGAGTGAACACCTCAAAACTGAAAACGGACATTGCAGATCTGTTTTCTGAAATGTTATTAACATTGAAATCTATTTATAGATTAGAATCATTCAACGGTAAACATTTTGAAACTATTCCGAGTAGTGTTACAAAGTAAAGTAGGGATAAATTGATAAATTAACTACATGTAGGTACTCTACTCATGTAGACTATTGTTGTAATATGATTTTAACTAATTCGTATGATATAAGCATAGTCATATCTTATAAATTTAGGAAAACAGCGTATTCATGTTCAATATTTGCCTTTTAATTATTTTGTCATCACTTCCATGTCACAATTTTTCTGCTGCTTCTAGTCTTGAAGATACAAACTTTGCTGCGTAATTTGAGGAATCTCTGATTTTTTTTATTTGTTCTTTTTTTTTTTTTTGAGCTTTCGAATGACAGACTTTTAAAAATTAATGACTTTCTTAACACGAGAAATACTGCCATGCAATTATTTTAAAGTGTTTAATTGAAAGGGGAATGCAAAATTATTGGAAAGAAGGTAAATTCCCTTAGAGCGAGGAATACATCACTAAAAAGATTGACTTAGTGTCTATGGAGGAGTGCTGATTTATTTACATCTAGCATCTTTTGATAAAAAAGAGTTTACTTGAACGTTTAATTAATACAAAGATCTTGAAAACCATAACATCAAAAAACAGCCTTTTTGACTGCGTGAAAATAACAACTTTTTTGATTAATCAGATCACTGCATTCGCAGTAAAAATAAAATTGCCCAGAGTGCCTTACGGACTTCAGGAAAGATAACTCTGTCTTTTAAATATGACAGGAAACTCTCACTTAATTAACTGAATTAATCAATAAGTGTGTTGTATTTACTTACTTCATCATAAATTATTTGAAGACTGGTGCCTTGGATTTGAAATTATACTATCTGGTAGAATAACGATGGTAGAACATTCATATAAACAAAGCTGGCATGTCAAAGCTGGAATCAATGAACTAAAAAAGGTGTGAATATGATGCAATACACTCGTGTAAAACATCGGAGTTTACACGCCAGTCAGTGAAATATACTTCATCAAGAAACTCTAAAATGATATTGTTTATTATTGTTAACTTACACTCTAATCCGGAAGAATATGGCTCTACTATCACATATCTCACACTGAATGGAAAGGAATGTAAAAGTATGTTTCTTACACATTTCCTTGCAAATATTCTCAGAACCAATCATTTCCAGTAATACCATTTTTGATATTTTTGTTACGTAACAAAGCATTTGACAACACGGTTGATACAACTGAAATAGCAGAATCTACAGCAAATTACACCAGAAAAAGTGTTTTCAAAACGAAGTAAATCCAATGTTAACAAGAACTGTTTAAATAGGTTTAAACAAACAAAGAAAATACCAGCATGTTAACAGAATCATTATCCAAACTTAACTTCAATAGGCAAAGGGCAAAAAGACTCCCGAAAAACAGAAAAACTTTCCCATCACTTTCCTAAATATGTGGGAAAATGCATTGTTTTTAATATAAACAAAACAAGAAATATTAACGATTAAGCATTACAATGTACAGAGCAAAATAACTTACATCACTAGAAGAGTTTTGTCCTGAAAAATGTATGTACATGGACATGCTTGTATTACAGGTAATTGATAACACACAACTTTATATAAATACTAAAGTATATAATATTATCACAAAAAATTGATCATGGAATTTCCAATGGTTATATCACCATAGGGAATGTCTGACGGATAAGCGTACGCAGCAATATTGTTCTTTGACAAATATTCTTCAGTGTACGCAAATCAAACTCATCAAAGGAATACTATTATGCATTAGTTATATGTCACTTATGTAATATACCCTGTGGCGTTAGACATTGGCTTCGCCAGTCAGGAATTGACTGTATCGTTATAATATGAACATTTTGACCAAAATTATTTAAAATGACAATTCAGATATAACACACTAAAGTTTACCACAATGTTACTAATGACATGCAATTCCATGACAACGAGAACCTGCTCTGTAGACATTATTATTGACCTTTGCATATTAAGGAATGGCAGACAGACGAACTGTAAATTACACACATAATACTATTTCCTTACCAAATCCTTGAACAATTTTTGAACTCTTGTATACAGGATATGAACTTCAGGTGGGGAATTTAATTAAAATATTCTCATTAACTGCATATCTATGTAGTCAGATGAAGTAGTTCGGAGATAGTACCAGCTGTCATAGTTTTAAAAAACCTTACTGCTTCTTGTGCTCGTTTGAGGAACCACATTAACATTTACTATTATGTATAAATACCTTGTAGGATGCATTCTACTGAGTAACTTTCGTTTATTTTATTTTACGAAGTTTGTGAGGGCTTTTTCCTCTCTGCCTTTGTACCAAAATAATCACTGCTATTTACCATTTATCAACGATGTATTTGGTAAAAAACCCGGCTTCACTTAGTATTCCACTGTCCTCGCCACTATCATTTAACAACATTGCTGACGATTTACGTCGCAATAATATTTTCGGTGAATGAGAAAGGTTGATTATTTCATAATTTCCTGTTGCAGAAACAGTCTGACTACAACTGTTTTGGCATGTGTTTGAGTGTGCGTAGCTTAGTTAAGTATTTAGCAGTATCATCTATACTTAATGCAACAGATAACAAGAAAAATTCCATTTGCCGACAAACCCGTCTGTCTAGGAGAAAACACCATCCAGCGCGTCATCACTGTATGCAGCAAACTTATTGTCTAAGAATAGCGTCATCCATTTCGCTGCATATCTTACATGTGTTAAGATATGTGGTATGAACAATAATTCCAGGTTGAGTACACAAGAAGTCTCAATCCTTGTATGATATATTTTGACCAAGTCCTTAACTCAAACACAGTGTTTGGGCGTTGGATTATTTCTATCTACATCTTAATAAGATCAAACATCATGGTGCTGAATGCTGAACCTTGAAAATCTTATACTTGGACTGCGAACACTGCTAAGGGGAGATAGATACTGTTAATTTAATAAGAGATCTTCACTGTAAAACTGTTGTTCTGATTCTTGATGTGTTTCATTCGTGTGGTGCCAAGCTTGCACTTACGATAACAATAATCCTGTTTCCCTTGGAATGAAATACACAATATAATACTGATAGGTTGATGATAGCAACCGCTGTTATATTTGGCAAACATGCGAACACATTATCGAATTATCCAATCGAAAAGCTGCAAAATCTGCTTCTAGGAAGTTTGCCAACCACAATGACATAATCAGAGATGTAATTCCGGTCTCAATATCTACAGAATATTGAATTTGGTGATTTATATGACGTCACGGATTATTCAGTATATCCAGTAATCGTCGTTATGTTTAATCAGTAGTGTATAGCTCACTATCCGATCAGATATCACATATCAATTAAATAACATTTATCACTGACGTCATAATAGAAGGCAAAATAGAACCATTGACGTCACGTCTGTATGCTATGTCTTCTTCCGCCTAAACTGTCTTGTTCTCTGACAGGCGCAAGAAAGTGATTACTAAAGAGATTGTGTCCGTTCCCTAATCTATTATGTGGTGACTTTAGAGAGGGAATGTTTGCGGACTTTGGCCTTGAAGGTCGCGTGTCAAGGTCATAAGCCTCCGTTTTTTCTGTAACAAATAAAACACATGTTACATGTTATCTACAATCTTAGTAATATTATTCGAAATTTCATCGTTATGATAACTGACCATCCAGGGAACGCCTATTTGATATCTGAGTAAGCTCTTTAAAATATCTGCTATAAGATGACAGAAACGATACATTATGTATGTATATCACACTGTGTTTAGGGATTAATGATGTTAAATCTCTACCTAGTAGTAATCTCCAGAGCACGACAGCATTAGCTTTGATTATTCTGTGCGTACGTAATTAGAAGTTCGTATTAAACAATGACCTAATCCGTCTTATTTCAGATATAGAAATCAGCGTTACAAAATAGCAACAAACAATCGGTACATCGTTATTGATAGTTTTTGAAGGAAGGAAAATCAATGCATTTACAATATTTACAAAACACTTGGTACCTGTTTGGAGAAGTCTAGTCGCTGGCTTCAACGATGTTTTCACGACTGGGGTACTTGAACCTTCATATAGACCGAAAAATCCAAGGTAAGGGGAGATTACTCTGGCAGCCAAACGTTCAAGTCTAGCATAGTTCTCGGTGGGAGGTGAACCGTCGTGTACACTCTATGAAAAAGATGTAACCTACTTACTGTAGAATATAAAATAATATTTTATGAAGATAAATGAGCATTTAAGCCCGAAAACGATGAATATATGTTCTCGCTTTTCAATGTGTTGGATTTTTTGCTTTTAAGCCCTCGACATTTTACCAAGACTGTTTGTTTTGTTAATGATATCAAAATTGCTTTTCAATACCTGCATACCTTAGTTGAAATCATAGCTGTGTATTAAAAAAAACTGATATCTACCAAAGACAGTACTTGTGATTTTGTATCAGCCAAAGTCATTCACGTGTTTCATTTCAATCTTTAATTTGTTGTGTCCTATCAATATCAAAGTCATTCCACGTCGCTCTTCAGATTGGTACATAATGATTTAACTTAATTATGTACATGAGACATCCCAACACAGACGCTCACCGATTTTTAGTAAAACAAGCTGACTTTCGGCAACAACCGAGTGCCCTTTAGTCGTACTTATCATTGTAAGTAGTATTCTGTGACAACTTTTCTAACTAAAAGTACATGTAAAAGTTTGTGTATTGATTGTGTATTTGACAAATGGTAGCAAAAGCTATTTGCTATATTGCAAACTTATTCATTATTTATCCTATAACGTATGCACGTAATTTATTGCTCTTGTTTTTGTTTTTTCTGGCATCAAAATATTTTCTGTCGGATGCATTCAGCACGAATACATAACCTTGATCTATCCCTGGTAGTTACGTGTTTAGTTGAAGACAAAATTAATACCTGTATTTTAATTGTCCACACTTACCAATAAGACTAAAAACATCTGACGTATAGCTGCAGGGACTTCATCTGGCAAAACTGACCCCAGCGACTCTGAAATAGACACTACAAGTATTAACCTCAGTACGATGTAATATAACAAACAGTTAATGAACAAACAATTAACTACAACACTGACCATTGCCTTACCAAAAATGCATAAGCATTGTAAAAGTGTTCATGAAATTAGTGTGATATTAAAACAATAGATCAGTGTAATTAATCATTGTTTTAGAATAAAATTTCAAGCATCCTTCGGAAACGATACGATGCACAATGTGATAACGTGCAGGGATATATGATGTGTATGTGACGGTCACCGTAAAGAAAAACATTTTGGTACTCAGACATTTAATGTAACAGTTAATTATATATTTTTATAATAATAGCATCCTTTAGTTTTTTATATACATGTCGTATATTTATGCAGGAGAACAAATCCTGTTAGTCCAACAGTATATCAGATTTACAAAAACCTGCTGCATAAGTAAACGCTTAATGTCAATTGATATGTAAAACGAAAACAAAAATCAAATTAAATCTCGATATGAAAATATTTTTGGTGCAACAGTTGATTGTTGGACAAGTTATTACATTCTATTCCCTCTCATATGCATATATACATGAATAATTAATTTGGTCACGTCTAGGAAACACTGACATCTCGTCACATTCTAAACATCTTTCCTGATGCAAATCATGTCCATTACATCCATGTAAAATGGAATCTCATTAACACAAGGTCTATATAAGTGTATCAACATCTCTGATTGTTCGTTGTCATCGTTTTTCAATAGACAAAATACACATCTAACTAAAACTAGGAAACGTCCGAATATCTTATGTGTTGTCATATCGCTCTCTGTTACAGTCGATTTCATCTGTTCAAAGATTGGAGGATAAACCTGCTTTAACTTAACTGCCTAATACATGAGCGTTTGTTCTGCATTTTTACCAATCATACAATGTATGTCAACTGTCTTATATCATGACCTTCATAATACTTCTTTTGAAAATGACTTTTCTATATCTACCATCAATATTCAAAGATAATCGACAAAAACATGCTATATTGATACATATTGCCTTATCGTGTATCACCGAGACATTGCTCAACAACAACTTACTGTGTTCGGTTAAATGTGATTCGGTACATATATTTTGACGTCATAAGGATATGAGTTAAACAGTATTGTTGGGCGTTGTCAGCATGGTAAGGCAAATTACAATCACATTTTGTTTAGGACTTCTACCGACTTTAATGATTAACAAAGGTTATATTGACATTGATGATTAAATGATTTGAAAGATATGAACGACATGATAGAACACTGTCACTGTTGAAGATAAGGATTGACAGACAGGTTATATTGATATTACCTTCTATTCCAACCTTAAGAACGACGACGTCACGGAATTCCAGTAAAGTCGCTTTTCGTATGGAAGTATCCTTTGTCTGAAGAGAAACGTATCATATTCTGTTGATGTTACAATCATAATCAAGCATTTTCGGCAGACTCGGTTTAAAAAAAAAACAACGATGTGAAAACAAGACTACATCTCTAACAAAAAAATCGGTGAAATCGGAGCATCAATGATTTACACAGAAACTAGACTAAAAAATGGATCGACCAATATATATGTTGCCCTCTTATTTTATCGATTTCAAGTTTAGCTTACTTTTTAGTCGAAATGTCGATGTTCTCTTTTAATAAGAGGTTCAACAAGCAAAACTAATGTAAAACAAATGTTCTTAAATTTGTGGATCTAATATGGTCGTTTGTCAATGTTGACGTAGTGCAAAACAACAAACATAATTAGATAGAAAGGAATCAAGCTTCTTAAAACAATTATTTCGTGTCAATATGGCCTACAAGATAGTTTTACATACAAAGAAACTAAAGTCGTTATATCAACCTCTTACCGGAAGTGGATAAAACATAGCTTGTAATGTAGGGAGGATCTCGCATTGAAGGTAAGACCACTGCTCGCCCATCTTTTTCAGTAATACAGATCCTGGAAAATAATGAGATGGTTATTAGATATTGATATTGTACTGATATTGAAGAATCAGTTAAGTCTCCGTATCCCCTATAACACATGGATGTCAACCTAATATCATTACAATCAAATCGCTTTAAAATTGTATATTATTTTTGAAACAGTATCAAAATATGGCATTCTATGGTAATCGTGGTATGTTTTCAATTAAGTAAAAATCGTTAAAAGTCAATATTGAAAAGAAGAACTGGAAAAACATAGCAAATGCAACAATTGATAGCCAGACAAGATAAACTAGAAGCCGATGGATGCTCCCCGAAAGGGCAAGTTCTGACAAAATTTAAGTATGAAAAATAACAGGACAAAAAAGCTCCTAAATGATGCAAACAAAAATTATTGTACATTGCACTTCTCATTATCGAAATATATATACCTATGAAGTTTCATGTTAATACCTCTTACAGTTTTTGTGATATGCTCCGAACAAAATCATGACGGACGGACGGAGTGGAGACTAAATGCTCCCCGAAGTATGCTCTCCCTTCGGGTAGCATAAAAACAGCAAAACAATCGCACAATATGTTGCAACTTCTTGGACAACACGAATAAAGAAAAAACTACATCACTGTAACAATGGAGTAGTTAATCCCTACAAATGACATCTATAAAGATCTGCCAACAACTATTCCAATCAAAAGTTCAGATTCTGAAAAATATCTTCCAATAAAATGTGTGTACATGTATTGTATCAACAGACTGTTGAAGGATACACCGAATGAATATTCTTGCTGAAAATATAATTATGAGATACCTGGTATTGAAAGTCATTTTGTTTGCTGAAACACCAGCTTCTGGAAAGTCTTTACTGGTAGTAATGACTAGTTTTGGTCGATAAACTGATTCCGTCTGAAGACTGTTTCCGACATTTGAACATAATACAACTGATAAGGTGTGATTCAATACGTTTCCTCAACATATTAAAATGTAAACTAACGTGGGTGGCTTTATCTCATTCTTTCACGAAGTATTGTTTAAATGTAATATTCGATTCGAAATGAAATCCTCCCAGGCATGCAATTACAGCAAAATTATTTGTAATCATCTTAGATATACATAAAATTTGAATCAATGATCCAAAACGTCAGCTTATAGAATGTGTCTGGAACGATCGTATGTTCGGAACTAACTATCAATATGTGTCGCTTGCAACTTTACATCTCAAACATTTGAGTTACCTGACTCCGTGACCAATAAATAACATTAACAAGTCTTATCTATCTTATCTGGCTGTCATACTATAATATAGATAAACGAACTAAAAAGGACTTTCGCTGACTACAATTTCACGCATTTTATAATTATAGAAATAGATACATCTAACACATTGTATACATTTAGTAATTTGGTTGGTACCCCACGGGACTATAACTATATAACAGTTTCCTGTGACGTGGTCAAATATTCATTTCTCTCAATGTATACATGTATATGCACTATGTATGTATTTTGAAAAAATGTACTGATGATTCTTAAAAAACCTTTAAAGAACTAAATTATTTAAGTTATTGAAATCCCTACCTAAATCATTTTTCATTCCCTCTCTCAGGATCACCATTCCTTTCTTCAACAACTTGTCCTGTAATGAAAACAAATCATTGAAATTCATAATGAAATAATTTTGAGAACTGAAATTACATCATCATATTTTATTAAAGCAAACCCCACGTCCTCGAACTCAGTTTAGCGAATGTCTCGATTCATCCATGTGATTTCTAAGTTCTAAACGTGTCCTTAATAAATTATTTGACGCTGGGTAATTCCAACCGTACTTCCTCGAATCTGTATCAATAGCCATCCATTTATGTTCATATCATCCTTTTTAAATTGACCAAAATATCCTACAGGACAGCATACTAAACTTTTACTTTCATGTTTGCATCGTATACTTGCATAAACCTGTACATTCGTGGATTCGTAAGTCTTACTTGATATTTGTTCGCTATTGAAAGACATTTTGTATGTAACATTCGCTGAAGGGAATATGTTTCATGATCAGCACACCAGTCTCACAGAGCTCAGAGCTCAAGCCACGTTGAGAAAAATCATATCACATATCGCCTTTCCGGCTAGTTTTCTTTAATTTGTGTGCCTTGCAAGATCAAACGAACGCATAATAATGAATTTATAAATCACTTGTAAATCACAATACAAGTCCCACTTTTGGTAATTTTGACAGAGACTACATGGTCTTAATGGTATTCAGGCCCAAAGTCTAAAACCATCGTTTTCCTAATTCAACAAGCCGGTTTGTGTAAGACTTTACCTTAAGCAAGATATCGGTACAAATACTGCAAGGTCAAAGGTATACTTGGAAGGAGACCTGACGGAGGCATAACACCCAACAACTATGTCTACAGACATGTGTCTGTAGTATATTTATTAGAATGATCGATTTCCACGACCGTTTGGCCCATATCGTCCTTCAAAATGTATCTACTTGGTGATGACCACAGTTCGTATTGAGTAATCTCAGTAAACGGTGCAAGGATTTTCATATGTATAGTTGTATTTGTAATTGTGTAGTAGTGAAACTCTCCTAGGCAAAGGCGATCGATAGCTCAAACAGCTGTTTACAAAAATCCTTCATTAGGTGAAAGGCATAGATATTCTTGTAAATGGATAAAAGCAGATTTTATTGCCATATAAGCAGCATATGTTGTAGTCATAGTGCATCTGTGGATAAGGATAGTTGTCTATTATCTGCTTTGTATGAAATAGAACTAATTTTTAAGCCCGTTTGGAAGAGATGATATGATGTAATGATAGTCCATCTGTACTAAGGTTATTTATCTATAATCCTCTTTGCATAACATATAACTATTAAACCCGCTTTGAACAGACTCCGAGATTCAGCACCATTTCAAAATATATACCAGTTGTCAGTAGAATGTCACCGTTGTCATAAACGAACATCCAGAACATAAACATTCTAAAATATTTAATAGTTGATTCTCAAGTTTGAAATTTTTGGTAAACCTGTCATAATGAAACCTATTATAAATACAAAAGATCACAGCCACAGTTTCACCGTAAAGCTACAAAGACAAATAAGCTTTGCATCCTATTAACAGGTAATTGGCTTTCGTTATGGAGACCTGTCCACCCTTTCTTATCACATTAAGGAGATCATTGTGTTCAGTCTGACATTGACAAAACGTCTATATCATTAGTGTACGTATCTCCGCGTGCTTTTATCACGTCTATAATCATCCAGACATTATAGAAAAGGTGAAGGATTTTTTATGACATAATGACGGAAAACTGATTATTATCCACTTGCATAGTGCGCCATTTTAAATGTCATCACCTCCATTGCCTCACAGATTAGTTTGTGAAATACACAAAAGTATATATACTTTATATATTACGACATCGACATTCAAGTTACATGTACGTTACATTTAATAACTAACATCAGCGTTTAAGTACGTCTATTATTTCTTACCAAATGAAACCTAAACTATTTCGACCATAATGACAAGCCATGTAATGCATTTTAATTATTTTTCAGTTGAAAATTACGTATATTATTGAATTTTGGTGTTCCTCCTCATCTAGGTTTGGAAAATTGCTCTGTCAAATTCGGATCTTATTTAGCCGCCTACTAGCTTTCAGCAATTTAGACCAGTAGCATTACTGACGAGTCCTAGAAGGACGAAAAATCCTTCCGATACAATTTATTTCTACAATGTTATTTAAGGTTGATATTGAAAGCGTTTTCACTTCTGTGTTTTTGTAAGATCTTTTGAATTTCAAATACATGATCGTTTCTCAAATTTTATGTACGATTTGAACAACTAGTAAGTTTTTACATTACGTACATTTGCACTGACATGCTGAGATATAACCAGACTAAATTTACCTTTGTCATAGATAACATAAGCTACTACATGACTAACCATCATGCTCAAATAAGTTTTCTTTCACTCTGGATACCATTGACAATGAACGGGGATGTATATCTGCAGACAAAATCAATATTTACCTATCATTGAAATTAGTTATCTAAAAAATATGAATATTTTTCAGACAAAAGCAATACTGAAACAAATTCAATTAGTTGATAGAGGGATATGAATATTTGTAGATATATCGATACTTAAACATCAATTAGATTAGTTATTTGAAGGAGATGCATATTTTCAGACAAATAAATACTTCAATATCACTAAAATTAGTTGACAATGACAATGAAAGGGGATGAATATTTTCAGACAAACTGAATACTTAAAGATCATGTTTTAAAACATAATATAATTGAATTTTAATATCTAAGAAAATGACAAGGTCACAAATCATAAAATTATGGTACAAATTTGTAAAACTTCGCTCGTAATAGTTAAACTCGTTGTAATTTATTTATACTACACCTATAATAATTGATGTCCCTTCCTTTGATTTCGATTATATTTACATGTATTTATACAAATGTACTTCTTCCATAACAGTTGATTTCGTTTCAATTTATTTATTCTCCGCCCAAAACAGCTGATGTATCTTCTATTTATATACACTCTTTGCTGATACTTACTTTGTAATAATCAAATATTAGAGGTCCTGCGTCAGATTTGATCAGGTTTCTGTAATACAAATACACAAAATCAATTTCAAAGTATAATTGAAATGCAAATTAGAATGTAAAATGATATTAAATCTTCATCATCGATTCGCATACGAACTAAAACGTGTTAGCGAATAAGATCGAATTAATCCCGCAATGAAATCGTAGAGTTAATATTCTCACATATTTTGGATAGAAAACTTGCTACAACTAATACATATGTTCACTCAATGAATTATGACCAGTATTGTTTTAGCGTAATTACGTCTTTAAGTTTATATTTTCCCGTCCAGAATTTTTAATAGAATCTTCCCCTACCCTGAGGGTGTGATAGAGAAATCTCCAACCCGAGGGGTGATTTTTGTTGTTGTCTAACCCGAGGCTCTGCCGAGGGTTAGACTACAAAAAAATCACCCCGGGGGTTGGAGATTTCTCTGTCACATCCTCTGAGGGTAGGGGTTGATTATTTTTCTCCCACCCCATTATTTCCGCCACGACGTAAAAAAAAAAAAATCCCACGGTACAAGTGCCTGAATGGCGCATGAATATCACCATTCACGTTTCCAAAATTCTACATTCTTCCGCGAGAGCAAAATGACAGACTACAAACGCAATATGAATAACCATTAAAAATATTTATTTTTTGGTAATTAAATATTTTAATTAGCGATAGATACATGGAAATACTTGTATTGAACAACATTAACCTCCGTATCATTTATTAAGGTAGGGTAGGCTTGCCGCGAAGTCATGGACAAAAAGGGGATTTCCCAGTTTATAATGACGTCAATTGTTTATGCGCGCGAAAAATTGCAATGGTGTGAGTGTCACGCGTGTGTTCATTCAGAATCAGAGTCATAGATGATCCTCCGACGTTTATCTGTGTTCACTGGACAAGGATTGTTATAGTTAATGTTAACTGTGATGTTACAGTCGCGCATTACGGAACCTGCAAACAAAGCATCCACTCGTCGGTTTGAGTCAGTTGTGATAGCCGACTGAGGTCACCGAGTGCAGTCATGTGGGATAGATTTATCCTCCATGGGTGTTCCACATGGGACATGTCTATCCTACATGGGCAGAGGTGGGAGAATAAATGGTCTCCAGGTCAATATTATACAATGCCGAAATACAAATGATTCGCAATAAAACATCACCAGGTTTATTTTTCAACAAAAGGACAGCCATAATCTATAAATAACTTACCTAAACATTCAAAATTCCAGATATCGAAACAGATGGTATACATTGTAATTAATTCTATACTTTACAGTTGAACACTTTTATGACGCATGCGCAATGGTCATGTCCATTATCAGCAAGCGTTATTGTGACGTGTTGGTCCATTCCTCAAAGTTAAACGTAGTTATGGATATCGACATAACAACAGTGCAACATAACACACTGTCGGGATTAAAGACCTCATGATTCCACTGAAACCATTAGATTGTCAAATGTGGACCCGCCTCATTTGTATGGAATTCCTATCAGCAATGTTTATCATTGAACAAACCTTGTTGTCCTTTTCTCCTCAAAAATATGGAAAACTTAATATGAAGAAAATCCTTCAATCTTTATCTTACCTCAAAACGTCTGTCATGAGAGATGACATTGACATTTCCACCGGTGATGAAACTATTGTATGTTAGCTTTCTCGTTATGATTTTTTTTTCATTCATTTAACCGTGAATGGCAACTGAAATACATCTTTGAACTATACCTTTTTCCTCGGGTTCAAATACATCATTGAATGGATAGGATTACAAGAGGGTCTGGTAGCAATTACGTAACGAACTGTTGACATACAAATTGAAACCATTTGTGGCCTTTCTTAAGCGGTTGATTTGACTTCAAGTTAAGCAAGACAGGAAATACACATCTTCGTAAATTCATCTTTCTCCCTTTAGATACTAAATTAATTCCTTAACAAAACATGTTTTGATCCTATCGATCGTTTGCTGCACGAAATGGACACTGCACATTTTGCCACAAGCAGCACGTACATTTAAATAGTGAAGTCTATTCGATATTAAAGGAATTGCAGAAAAGGCTACAACAGGAAGGGGTCTTTCAATACAAATTAAGAATTAGGCACAGCAGAGCCCAATGATTAATTAACCTGTACGAGACAGTTGTTTCGTCCATCTAGGATTCGTCTGTGATGCTAGATGTCTAAAGTCTAAAGTACCACAAATTTCAGACATTTTTTCAAATTAATCAAAGCTTGGCATGTTAGCTCATTTAACAATAGCGCGGTCATTATTCTTGTTATCAATATGAATGCAGCCTGGGTAACAGATGATAAGCGTGGCATTCGTTTGCAAGTCATTATTATTGATATGTCACACAGATCGAATTGAATAAACGAGGGCAAAACATCAACACTGTAATATTTACATGGCGAAAACAACGCTAAAAAAAAAGTCTTGCGTTCTGGATGGGAAAGCGTCTTCAGCTTCACCGAAGACACAGAGCATGTAAGTAATGGTAGTATCACTTTCTCAAATGCCAGCATGGTTAACAACAACAAAACTACTTGCATCATCGAGAAATGTAAGACTTCCCTATGCGGGCATGGGCGCGACTATCAGTCTTCATCAATCTACATCTCTCGAACTTTTATGTTGAGATCTGTCAGCTTTTAATCGTGATATTGAGGACAACCTTCCTAATATCGAATCGACTGATACATGTAAACATGGTAGGTTTGGATACACTCATGCAGTATAACAGAATTAAAATGTCCCATGCACTAGACAAGATAATTTCCACAATCGATAATTTACTCGCGTCGGGGAAGTCATGAGCGATTTTAAATGTCAAAGCCTTGATCTATCACACGTGCAAACACAAACAAAACAATTATACATCCGCTCCCCTGGGGCGAATTGCTTCTCTGGCGTCAAAATTGAGTTCTAACACGTTACAATGAAATTAAACATGTTCTTTTAAATATCTGTCGTCGTATAACCTTTTTATTGCTCGGAGAATGCTTAGGACGAGGTCTGAAACGTGTTTGCTAATTTAGGCAATTTGGATGTTAAGGGGACATTTCACGTTTCCTCTGCTTTTAGACAGGTAATTATAAGAATACTAAAAACCAGAACAATTGAAAGTACCTAAGCGTTTCCTGTAAGACAGCTAATTCTCCCTCCTGCAGTTTCTTCCTCTGGAAGAGCTGTATTACTGCTATCTGTATACTGAAACGTAAACAATAACCTCAACACAAATATTACGAATTTCATGTTAGACAAGTATTTTTTAGTCAGTTTGTAAAAGGTTGGTCGTATCACCGAAAAAAGTGGTAAGGGCGATCTAAGACTTTTCACAACTGCATGGTTAATTGTCGTGTTTGGTTTGGAAATATAAGTTAATTCTTTTTTTTTACAGAAATAAAAAAACATTGAGCAGTAATTGGTTTCCACCATGAAGCGCATTAACATAATTAGATCAAATTACTTCACAGTGCGTTATGTGATTCGACAGGGTGCAGTGCTTCATCCTCAACAATATGAATACAATTAATGTGTGATTGTCCAAAACAACTTCTTCCGTCAGCTAATATCAGCAATTCTTTTGCCGTATACGTGACTTACCTTTCAAGTGTCTCATTTTTAGACGCATAATCGAGAACATTTCCGGCAGACAAACGTATCTGCGACGTCATAGATAGTCGCCTGCTACTGTGGGTGACTCCCTTCCATGCTTCAGCTACGTTAGCCAAACTATGTCTGTTTGAAACACAATTACAAATTAGTCTTAGAAACATTTCTTATTGTATTAGTTTGCGTGTACTTGATAACTGTTTTACATTATACACATACATTATGTATAAACATTGTTTTACATGCAAAATAACTTGCATGTACAAAATCTGCTGTGGAATTAAATCACTTCTGTATTAAACTGATGAAAAGTTGAAAAAGCACATCTGGTGTTTCTCAGTATTCAACGTCTCAACACATGACTTCTCTGTTGAATAGTCCGACATTTTGAAAATTATTTATGAAATTACAAACTCGTTTCATTGCATTAGATATTGACTCATGTTGAGTCAGATATTGGCATCGGCCAAATTGTCCGTGACTGACGCTTCAGTTTTATTCATGAGTGGGTGGGTATGGCCAAACTATCAGTCCCTTATGATTCAACTTCTGAGTCTACATGTTTTATTCATTGGTTTCAAATCGACTATAAAACATTGATTAACAATTGATTTCGTCCCACTGACTGTTTCCAAGGGTTGATAATGACAATATAAGATTTGCCCTTTTCTGTATTGTATTCTATTAGTCACTACCATATGTTATCGCGTGAGCGTGTCCGCTGGGGACGCCGTTGAATTATGTAACGTTGAGATAAGAGGACAGATCAATCTATGATCCCTGTAACAGCACTTTCACGTCATTGTTTCTGTCCAGCGTGGGCTTTACGATGTCGGAATGATTGATTTTGTAACCAATAGTCTGCACAAATTACTTCATTATTGTGCTAATAAAGTTGTTTTTTATTGTAGTACAATGATCGCAGACAAGGACACTATTTGAATACATCGTATAAAATGCCGTTTTCCCTACCAATGCCAAAATAAGATTTTTTTATAAAGTGTAATCCTATCTGAATTGCCTGTCTATCGAACATAAGTTAGAATAATCAAGTTTGGTTGCCTACACGTTCTATTAGATAATGGAATATTGGGAGACTAGACAAAAGGCGTGTACGTTGTTACTGCTGGACCCAACCATCCTAATGTTGACCACATGTAACCAACATGATAGCATTTTTTGGTTCTCTCTTTGATTTTATTAAATGCCATCTTACCCAAATCTAATTCCTTCGAATATTTGATTTTATTAACAAACAGGTGTATATTTTCAACAGTAATGCAGTTGTCGAAAATCAAAACAAAACTTTTTTTTTAAACTATTGCAAAAATATTAATTAACGGTAAATCTACACAAAAAAAAACCTGATAAATACGGGGTGAATACGACCAGGAGTTCTGGAAGAGCAATATCCTCGATACTCCAGGGATTTGGATCACTTTCGTTCTCTGCACCCCTTGTACTTGTCATGACTTCGCACAAACGAAGTAATTTGATTGGTTCCAGGAGAAAAAGCCTGACCAATCACAGGCTGATACAGTCCTTTTGAAGAGTACAAAGGAACGATACCCAACTTCAAAGCCGTTGCCGTTATGCGACTTCGAGATTCGTTTGATGTACATCAAAGGATCAAACTAGTCTTGTCGTATTGCCGACAGAGTGTCGCATATGGAACCTCACATTTTGTCAAGACATGTTACATGGATGCAGAGAACGAAAGTGATCGTAATCCATGGAGTAATGTCACGTTCCCTAATGAGAGTTAGGTAAACATTGGAACCACCAGGTGAAGTAAAAAATTCTTTCCTGTAAAGATCATCAAAATGAATTTCTTACCGAAAAATAGATAGATATTGTATTGTACTCTTACTGCCACGTGTTGTCAGTTCATGATGTTCACGGCAAACATTTGTCAAACAATTTCTACATACTGAATCACATAAACATTTGTATACATATACATTTTGCCTAATATTTTCATATCCGAAAGGAGACAGTGGTAGCAATGATCGAGACCAGTGCAATACGCATATACTCCAGGTAAGTGTAATGGAACATCTCGTAGAGAGTTGTATTAAATTTCTTTCTGTCAATTACCCCCTTTGCGAGAGGATTGGTAGACACGCTGTTGTCTTTGTTAGGATAACTTCTCCCAAATAATGTTTTTGGAGAAATTAAATAGGTATTAGTATGAAAACAAAGAATTTCTGATAAAGCATTTTAAAACATTTTATACGTAACTATGACGACAAAACTTCACAGTAGTTTTCATCCTAAAAACAATAACAACATTTGCAACACTCACAATCAGCCTCCTTGTAAATAGCGACCGTCCTGTAGGAGGAAATCATGATAAGTGGACAGTGCTAGATCCAATGAGTTAATACTCGCTGCCCTGTGTTTGAATTTTACGTCAAAATCATAGTGGTTAGAATTCTTAGGCCCGATTTCATTATTTGACTGGAGGATATACATAGCTTTTTGTACACTACACAATCGTGATAGACATGTAGTAACTGTTGTATGCCTTCAGTGGCAAACAGCAGAATTTCATATCTAAAACTGTAACTGACTACCATTCAGGGTATTTATGAACATTTGTACCTGAAAAAAGTATATCAAACTCGTCTTCGGACTTAGATAAAATGTATGGCAAATGCTGAATTAAACTGCATCATACAGTTGTCTCGTACTTCAAGGGCTAATCGGGATTGTTTGGGGCCTAAATCTATATCTTTATCTTTTTTCGTAGTTTTCTCAATTTGTGTACTACGTGATGATTAATACAAAACAATGCCACACATGTAGCGTCTTGCACAGCATGTCGTAAGCTTTTAGATTTTCGACCCAAAATGACCATTGACGCCATTGGTACAATAAATATCATTACTAAACATGACATCTACAAATGACTTCTACTAAAGTTTGTCGTAAATTTTTCGATTCTCGACCCAAAATGACCTTGGACGCCATCGGCATAATAAACATCAAAACCAAACATGACAGACTCCATTAAACATCTTGGCAAGTCATTGCTACATTAGTTTAATTTTCCCCTTGTTTGTTTTTCCTCACGAACAGTATATGTGTATGACTGCGTCATGCATTTCTTCTGTAATTAACACTTAGCTTTGCACGAGGTCAGATTTGAATTTCAAGGACTCTTAAGTTCTACATACTTCATAGATTTAATCACATTTTTGAGAATTTTAGACGAAACGATCGCGTAAACAGGCATGTGTTTCTACATAAAACGTGCATAACTAATTAAATAATTGCATTTACAACACAGCCAGGGACGAGTAAAAATATTACATGCACGCGATGTAATATGCACATTTAAGTGAAATTTGACACAGGGATAATACGGAGAGAAACAAGACCCCCTGTTTTACACCATCACGATTTTATAATGGTTATCTACACAGATGGAACGTTGACGTAGTGTTTTGTTAGAGTAGGTCAATCTGCTGGATATTTTTAGGAATACCATATCTTTTCCATTATTAATCTATTTATTTATTTCTTATATGTATTTATCTATTTCATTTATGCACATGTATTTGACATTTCTTCAAAATAATTTGATGTTTGAAAATTATAAAATTTATTGATTTATGAGGCAAGCGCAGCTTCTCTTCATTTTAACCATTTTTGCAAACAATTTTGATTTCCCAAAGTAACCGCCTATGTTTCAGCACGTTAAGCCTTTAGCACCATTGATGAATCCTAGAAGGACGAAACAGCTGATATACTATGATTATTTAGATTTTAGATTTGTATTCCAGCCATCTATAAACCAGTAATTCTCAAGAAATTAGCAATTTTATTCACAACGTCACAATTATTGTTTCAGCAAATAATCGATAGTACATGGTTCTGTGTTAAGAAAAATACATTTTTTTATCAGGGAATTTGATGGACGTCGAAAGCACCCTTGACCCTCTAACCAGAGAGGCTAGGGACAAAAGTTACGACGCGACGAAAAAAAAACTGAATCACTGACAACCTAATGCACCATTAGGCCTAGGAGCCGTCATCTAAAATTACTCAACACTGTTAAAACCCCAATGACGGCCCCATCCCATGAGAGAGATGCAGGTCGCCCCCTCACGTTCCTGACGTTCATCGGTGAGACAACGCCTAGAAATAGGACGGGTTAGGGCGAAGAGAAACCTGCAACCAGCCAACTTGAAACTGCAAAATACGAATCTTAAAAGATTCAGCAATCGTCTTATGACAACTTGTACCACCTGAGAGTAAAAAATGCTATACTAAATCATTGTCAGCTACAAGTGGAAATGTCTTGTAAACACTTATTGATTTCATGTCATATTGTAATCGATAGTATCCTTAAGTAAAGCAAGTGATAAGTCATTCCCAGATTTGAACATCCTATTGTTTTCTGTCTGATACTTACGTAGAAACCGCATGTCTGTTTAACCGGTAGACAGGGTCAATAACAACCCGTCTTAGATCTTCGTCCGACATCTATAATGAGTTTAAACAGAAACCTGTCAGTAGTCAATACAGTGGGTAAACCACTGACCTCATACAACACAGGGGACCGACAATGTGGTCATTCACATCCGGTAATACCGGGACAGGTGATAGGTATGCACCTCAGACAGGAACCAGTGTTTAAGCAATAGCGGTTAAAATAGGCGCCACATAGCAACGACAGTACTGTGAACCGGTGTTATAAATTTAGCAGAACCGGTCATAGATTCCACACAGAAATAGGTGATATTTCAGTACAGGTTATTGAGATATTCCACACAGAAATAGGTGATACTTCAGTACAGGTTATTGAGATATTCCACACAGAAATAGGTGATACTTCAGTACAGGATATTTCAGTACAGGTTATTGAGATATTCCACACAGAAATAGGTGATACTTCAGTACAGGTTATTGAGATATTCCACACAGAAATAGGTGATACTTCAGTACAGATTATATAGATATTCCACACAGAAATAGGTGATATTTCAGTACAGGTTATTGAGATATTCCACACAGAAATAGGTGATACTTCAGAACAGGTTATTGAGATATTCCACACAGAAATAGGTGATACTTCAGTACAGATTATATAGATATTCCACACAGAAATAGGTGATATTTCAGTACAGGTTATTGAGATATTCCACACAGAAATAGGTGATACTTCAGTACAGGTTATTGAGATATTCCACACAGAAATAGGTGATACTTCAGTACAGGTTATTGAGATATTCCACACAGAAATAGGTGATACTTCAGTACAGGTTATATAGATATTCCACACAGAAATAGGTGAATTTCAGTACAGGTTATTGAGATATTCCACACATAAATAGGTGATACTTCAGATTATATAGATATTCCACACAGAAATAGGTGATATTTCAGTACAGGTTATTGAGATATTCCACACAGAAATAGGTGATACTTCAGAACAGGTTATTGAGATATTCCACACAGAAATAGGTGACACTTCAGTACAGGTTATATAGATATGATACAGCCATACCGGTTACATTAATATTCCAAACAGAATCCGGTAATGAAGCCAGTTTATATCGATTTTCACACCGAAACAGGTGTCACATCAATACTGGTTATACACAGTGGAAAGGTAGTTTCTATCTTTTGTAATAAGCAGTTCCGGTTATAAAAACAGTTCCGGTCATACCTGAATCGATTATTTCAACTCCATACAGGAACCGGTGATATGACTGTTCTGGCTATTGTAACCTTGATATAGCAGTACATGTTCTGAAATTATTAAATACGTTGTAACGACGCCAGCAGGGACCGACGACCGCCTGTCAAGCGATGTCCGGTCAAACATCAGGACAGCATCGGACGTATAAGTCATCGGGAAAGACGTGAGAATTCGACATCGGACGTACACCGTTTACACGGACACACAAGGGAGCGATATCCAAAGTTAATCACCAAACATATGAATTAATAATTACACTACAAGGAACCAGAAATCACGAGAATCACCAGCGATGCTATCTATATATCTATATCATATATATTAGCAGCTATCACTGGTCCATATTGCACCAAGGTCATTATCTATCAAAGTGGAAACTGATAAATAGCTGACGTTTGCTTTAGAGACAACAACCCCCTGGTGATTTATCACAGATACACCAAGCACACGTGTACTTGTCAAGATAAAGGAGCATATGAGTCCACGGTAAATGTGTCAGTTCACGTGTATTAAAACATATAATGCACGTGATTACGTGTTTTCTGACAAGCCGTCAAATCCGTTTTTGTCAAGATTTTTGGCACAGAAATCCCCTTTGCTTGATGTACACGTGTGTTCATATTAAGTAAATTGACGTTTCGGGCATTTTATTCTATGGTCACGTGTTCTGGTAAACTGGCAACATCTGTTTATGTAACAACTTTCCTCAACGTACAGTTGATGAAATATAGATATGTGACAATACATATATATACATACTATTAATGTTCTCATACCGATGTGGCATGATAACTTGTCTCCATGCGACTGGTTGCATCATGTGATATATTCTAGACGAATCAAATGAGGTTTAGAATTCTGGACATAGGTATACCAGGATGTGAGGTATATAATAATGAGGATTCGAGACAAAATGACGGATGTTACATCATCTGAGAAGTCAAAGTAAGTATCTATGTACGTGTTATAATGACAGCACTCAGTTAACTTCATAGCATCATTATTCGCTTCTAATCCGAAGGTCAAGTAGACCTATTCTGCGACGCGGCGGCCATCTTCTATAAACAATTTAAAATTTGCTTAATTTTCTTTTGAAAACAAGAAGCATCAAATTTAATTTTGCCCACGGCATTATGTCTTCTACGTATTAAATTTAAGTGAATTAATGTTATTTCACTACTTTTAATGAGATGAGTCAAGCGTGCTGGGATAACATATTCAATAATTTAATAAATCATTTTTTAGGTAAAAGGTACAGGACCACAGGTACCTGTATTGATCACGATCTACTCGAATGCTCATTAGGATGGTCTAAATACAATGTATCAGTGTGTAGAAATGAACGACTGGTGACCTTCCTAAAGGTAGCAGGGGTCAAACTGGTAAAAATACTTTGTACTAACAATTTCTATCAAACATCCTCAATATAGCCTATAGTGTTTAACCTGTAGTAAGCGCCGACAAAGAACTATCAGTTGTATATGTTATGGCCTTGGCATTAATGAATTGTCAATTTCATGAATCAGTTACTTTTGACCTCCATCACATTTATTTAAACAAATGACCTTGAAATATAATAAAGGTTTAACAACGTAGTAATCTATTTACAAAAAGCCGGAATGCCTAAGGTAACTGACGGGCGCAGAAAACACTGAGACGGTGTCTCATCTGCGTTTGAGACAGATACACGCCAAATGGCCCCCCTTTTTTTTACATGTTTCATTCCTGTACGTATGTCGGTTCCGTTATTGCTAACCTTGTTCTTGTTTTGGAACGTGGCATTACGTGGTGGATGTCGTCTATGAAGCAGCAGACGAATATCCTTCCCGTACACCTTTTTCAGAGATTTCTGTGTAAATGTTTTTTTCTTTTCTGATCATATTTGAATTTTAGTCTGAATATAAAGCTTTAGTAGACAAGTTAGTATCTTCTTTGTTATTTTATAAGCTTTCTGAATTTAATTTTCTCATTGAAAATAGATAACGCTTTAATTTGTATGAATCATTCGTACTCTTCCTATAAGGAATTCTCGCTTATATGACTACATCACCTATTGTTAGGTTGCTTTATCAATGGTCGTCGATGTTCTCACGACACCGAGGAGGTAAGTCAGAAGGGCTTCCATCAGTGCGTTTAGCACAATGATTTTCTAGCTGATGTCAACAACACAGCTATCTGTTGACAAACCTGCTGACTGCATAATGAGAGAAAAAATCACCTTTACCACTACGCCGCGCTGATAAGCCTTCTTTCGGTGTTGTGTTCTCTGAAATCCATCCCAATTAAGCAATTAATTATATGTGCCGTACCGTGGCATTACATTAAGATGGCTACAAACATCTGTCTTGGTAACATCGTTTCTGGTGTGGTGTGTACTCTGGGGCTTTTCACATAGAATCTCCATATATTTCCACAGTAATGCAATTCAATACTATTATTTGTCTGAGTGTAAACCAATTGATCTTCCTCTGTCTATAAAAAGACTTTATCCGAGGCTCAATCTTTCGACAATGTAATGCAAATGTCAAAACATTGGATAAACCTATATAAGACTGACTGTTTTTTTTTCTGAAACAAGAGAGTAAATCTGAATATATCATTCTTCCCTGAATCCAAACCCCTGGGATCTGCATTCTACATACACGTCTACGTTATGCCAAATAGAAAACATACTTGAAAGAAATTTGATTTACTTTTTTTGAAACATCAACTTTCAACAGGGTTTCGTTTAAAAGATACATAGAATTTTTGTCATAATCTTATATCAAGCTGAAGTTTGACACTATATCTAACGCTAATTGACTTCGTCACTTCTGTATTTACAAATGATGTAATGCTCCCCAAAAGTCAGCTATAGCTGACGGCCCTTTAACGAAATCTACCAGTCAATTGTTAATGCTAACAAATTGTTAAAATATTTGACATTTACTCGCTTTTATGGTCACAACGATTAAAAATGTTTACCCTTAAACGACTTACTGTTCAAATATTAAAACAGTTCTGTTAATTGCTGCTTAGACGGTCCCTTTAATCATTATCCAACATTTTATTGTCAATATTCTCAAATTCTATTTCTAGATATCCCCCCGGAGAAAATGTTCGCCATCACACGTGGAAGTGTATAATAAACGTGTATATAGCTTCAGTATAACGGTTATGATGGTTGATAAACATTCAATGTCTGTTTCGCTCTTTACTCTCGAGAATTGAGAAACATTCGCAAAGTAACGTGAATTCCAACATCGCTATATATTTACGAGCCATGCAAAACAGTCGGGGAACACATATTGCCTATTTCAAAAGGTCAGTTTTGAATATCATTGCAGAGAGCAATCCGGTCAATTGGTCAATCGCTCTCCGGACACCATTAGCGAAAGTAGCCGTGGAGCTAATATTGGTCAAACCGGCTTTGCCTAGTTCTTCTGATTCTTCAGCAAAGTAATTACGTTTTTCCTGATCTATATCACGCGGAAACGTCATATGTCGGTACCAATGGTCGATAGTCTACATTCAGATCTGTCCAGCCTAAGATTTTTCAGCGTGCTTTTACCTAAACTACAGATTGGAGATCACTAAAATGTTTTGACATGGACCAATGCTACACACTTGACACCAGCTGTGCTTATAAATAACATTGTAGACTGACAATACTCACGAGACCTATACGATAGAGTACTTGGTAAGAAAGTAAAAGAAAAAAATCATAAGTCTTCCTGAACATGTAGGCTTGTCAGTTCAGCCGTCTGCCCATCTTGTGTTTGCTTCCGAAACATATAAATCATCATAGGTAAATAGGATTTATTAAAACTTCCCTAAAGAATCCAACGCGTGAATGTTTTAAAATTTTGTAAAGAATGACAGACTGATATTTAACATTTTTTTTTGCAATTAACATACAGAAGAGGTGCAAATGTTTTAACTGTTTATGTTTAACAGCTATAACAAGGACATCTCCATTCTATTCATCTCGTTCTCAATAAAACTTATATCATACTCCATGAAAATAACCTCAGATTAAAACTAAAAATGTTCACGTAAAAAACTTTATTATTGTGTGTGTCACAGATCAATTTTGGGTGAGATTTTGAATTGTTTACCTACTTAGTGAAAATCTCAAAAAAAAAACTCAGAATGTGCAATATTACATGAATATAGAAAAACGGTGCTTTATAGATATCGCAAACGTCAGCGTGACTAATGACCAGTGGTCAGTGGTTCATTATACAGAATAGTCTGGAACATGTACATCGTCAACATAAAAAAAACGGACATACTGAATTTGATCTTGTATAAAAAAAAATCTTACCTTTTCATACTGGAAAGTCTCGTTCCTCCAGGTAAAAAAGACATCCTGTCTGACATGTAGGTAGCGCCAACAGGTACACTACAAATCCAATTTTCTTGTCAATGTCAAATCTTATTTGAAATCGGCCCACCACAACTGTTGTTGTCCAGTATTAACCTGTATACATGATTCCATTAAAGTTGTTCTTATTCACAGAATATTCGCGTAGTCAATAACACCATCGATTTTAACAAAATCTAACACTGAAGTTAATAGTTGTTTTGATACAGGTAACAACAGATATCGTGTAGGTACAGGTAAGTAAATCTTCCGACAGGTATTTTCTTTGTCGATCTGTCAATCTTCGACGAGTTTCAAACTGTCCTTTATCAAGCACATGTTGCATGTCATTCAAATATCTGCCCTCTAGGTATTACATTTACGTAATTATGTCGTCGCCTTGTAAATATATACATTAAATGTAAAGTCTAGAGAGACGTCCTCATGTAAACACCAGTAATCGCCGGAAGCTATGTCATGTAAACTAGTATCCGTACAAAAGTTCCGAAAGTACTTGTCGATTGGCGGGAATGTTCCGATGGGATCCGGTAATCTTCGGCATTGATCGTTCCCTGTGAGAGGAAAATAACAGTACATAGTTGCTTATGTAAATGTATATCAACAGTGCGATTGTACATTCGAATTTGTAAATTAAACGTCCTCTCTATTTTAGAATTTTGTAACATCATAATCGGATTATTCTCCCCGTACCGACAAAACATTGACGTGTTTTGTAGGGTACCGCAATGCACTCTGGGAGATATTGAATCTGATTAAATACAAAATGATACCATCCGATCGAAAATATTATTACCGTACCAAATTTTCCATGATTAGATAATTTAACATTACCCTATACCACAAGTTCCATCCAGCGGTCAGGTTCTTCATAATTATAGCTATTCTAAAGAGTAGAGATCTGATATAGACTTTTCGCATCACGTACAAAGCTACGGACATATGTCCGGAATAGATCACGGAGCAGGTGCTCATGAAATATCACTAAATTGTCATTGGAAATGAAATCTTAGTTTCATATTAGATATGGGGTTGGAGGACAACAACTTAATTAGCACTAAACACAACCTGCGGGATCTTTAATTAGGTTTTGAAAATTACCATGAACGTATGAATTTAATACTATCTTTGAATATATGAATTTACATATTTGTAAAACAAACAGAAATTTGCAAGTTTTCTTACTAACAAATGGCATATATACAAATATACAAAGGTAAATCTGGTTTAAAACAGTATATATGGTAAGTTATTTTATCACAGAATTAAAAAAAATGTCGGGTAATGTTAAACACATAATACCTGTATATGTGCGTACATGTATGATAAAAATATCGACAAAAAATGTATATTAAAAATATCTGTGTTGTGATTAAGCATATAAACATATAAAAGTTGCACACGTCTCCCTCTATAGAATCTGTTATAAATCTCACAAAATGGTAAAACTGAAGATAATATTCACTTCGAGTAGTCTATTTTACTTAATGTGTCCAGTCCATTTCTGTATGTAGTGGTTTTACACATTCATAGGTGGCGTTGAATTCGCCATTAAGATCAACGGCTGGACATTCGCCGGAGGGTTTGTCCTACTGATTCTATGGTCATTTTGTCTTAGACATCACGTGCACCCGTAGGTCATCATCCGGTGACTTTAAGGTCAATAATTCTCATTATCATAGAAAACGCTGTCCGTACTATCTACAGATGTGTACAACAGGTACAGATGACCATAACTTGATTAACGCGATAATTCAATAACCTCTGGACATTGGTCAAATGGCGAACCAAATCAACCGCCCGTCAGCCACAAAGTAATAAGGCATCACACTGACCGCATTGACCAAATCAACACTGACCAATCTAATTAAAAAGAGAAGACAAAACAAGAAAAGTTTGATCACGTGTCTGACAAATTTCGAGCACGCCTGTTCGGACTATGAAGATCAAAGATAGGGATGGAGGAAATATCTATATTATAAATCAATCGATAAATATCGATTACATTTTAGGAGAAAAAATATACTTTCGTGAGATTCTGCTTTGATGTTCACACACAGATGCTATCAATTCCACACCTATTTCAAGGAAAAGTATTCGGAACTCGTCGATTGGTATAACCTACAGACCAGTGATACTTCAAAAACTCAACAACTACTATAGATAAATCAAGCAATAAACAAGCAAACATATAAATCAATTGAAAATAAATAAATAAATAGATACCAAATAACGGATATTTAAAGTGAGATAAATTAAATCCTTTCAGCTGCTTAAAAAATGTATACCTGATTTTGCCATAGACGACCAGGCATAAAGATTTATATCAAACAGGATATAAAAATAGCAACAAAGATATATAAATATATACATATATATATACATACATGTAGATCCCTCTCCTGGAGGATGATTCAAACTGACACGTATATACACTGACTTACATCTGGTATAGCTGTGAGCGACACTTCCGGAAACAGTAACATACGTAGTTATATAAGCTAACTCCGTGTCTTTCGCACAGTCTCCCATAACGTTTGACGTTTGAGGTCACTTACAAATTACGCGTGACAAATGTGTTTATTATGGTGTGTTGTTTTTCCTGGTTTAGTTAATACAATTATACATATAACGTTTATCAATCATAAACGTATGTAAAACAAGTCGAACATCGTATGTTGTTTTCTAAGAATGATTAAGTGTATGAACTAGATCGATACATGTATATCGCTAGTGTATGGTTAGCTTTAATTGTGTATACTTTACTAAAAAGCTCCAACTTTATCCGATCGACGAATACAAGTTATAGAATGTTCAACGAAAAAGCAATACTTTTTATCTTATGTCATTACGTGTAAGTCGAGAATTTTATCGTGTGGTTTGCAATCTATTCTGTTATTCTGAGCTATTTAATTCAATGTTTCTGATTTCGGATACAAAGTAAAATTACTCTTTTAATTATGTTCAGTGGTGAGGAAACTTGAATCGACAGTAACATCAAACAACGCTAAACAGAACACAATTACTTACTCAATAGGAGTCTGGTATTTCGGATCAATTGGATGAGGATGTGAATGGTTTGAATACACAATGATATACAAGGCGATTGACTTCCGAGAATTACTATGTCTAAAATCGAGTAAGTTTAACGCGTACAGAAAATTCTTATAACCATTCAATATAATTAAGTAAACATCTTTTTAAGCATTATATATTTTTGACAGTTAAAGATTCGCAAGTAATACTTCGAAATAAAGACCAACTTCCTAAAGCGGCGACAAGAAGTTAGATAAAAATAGTTTATATAAAATATAGAGAGATCTCAAAAGGATCTTTGAAGCAATAATGATCGATCTTTATTTTTTTTTCTCTGATAGACTAACATTTTCCTTACTTTCCCCTTCGTTTCCCTTTTAATAGTCTAGTAACAAGGGAATCGTACATATGAAATATAAGAAAGATCAAACCAGAACTCTCTGCCAAAATTCAAAATGGCAATTTGTCAGCCATCTTTGTTTCACTAATCAAACGAAGAATACAATGGGCACACCTAGGAACATACACATCGAGTTTGAGAAATATCCTTCTTATACTTCTGAAAAAATGACGATAACAATGATTATTAGCGGACGAACAGACTGACCATGGACCATCAACAAGGACCGATTTGAACAGCCGAGCACCTGATGATGGTTGGCTTAAAATCCCTCGGAATTGCAAGAAGTCAAATGTCCAAACGCTCCCACCCATGTTACTTATGATGTTTTATTTCTGAAGGGTAATCATGTAGCAGTTCGTTGAGTCACACAAGTAAATATTCAAAGTAATCTACTTTCATTCTGACCTTTGAGTCAAACAAACACCCAAGAAGACGTTTGACATCCGACATGTAATGAATGTTGTCAATTGATTTCTTGTTGTTTGATTCTAAGTCACCTTTCAGTTGTTCATTACAATAAGGACCCATGTCACCTAACCAGATGACATCCTACATGAAGAAATCACTCCATAACCCACAGGGGCTACTAGAGTTTGCCTTCCCACAGGGGAAACTAGAGTTTGCCAACCCCACAGGGGCTACTAGAGTTTGCCTTCCCACAGGGGTAACTAGAGTTTACCATCCAACAGGGGCCACTAGAGTTTGTCATCCAACAGGAGTCAATAGAGTTTGCCTTCCCACAGGGGCCACTAGAGTTTGCCATCCCACAGTTACCACTAGAGTATGGCATCCCACAGTTACCACTAAAAATTGCCAACCCTCAGGGGCCACTAGAGTTTGCCAACCCTCAAGGGCTACTTGAGTTTGCCTTCCCACAGGGGCCACTAGAATTTGCCAACCAACAGGGACCACTAGAGTTTGCCATCCCACATTTATCACTAGAGTATGCCATCCCACACTTACCACTAGAGTTTGTCAACCCTCAGGGGCGACTAGAGTTTGCCACCTACTACGGCACTCAAAGAGTGGGAGCAAAATCAATCTTCACGTACCTACCCTATGGAGCGATGAAAAATAAATGTTTAACGAGAAACAGACGGACGACCAGTTAGCCTGTATCTACCTCGGTACATATGTACCTACGTACTTTATCATGCATGTATTCGCATCACGTAAGCTGTGTTAATGATTAGTAATAAACACTTTCTCTATACAGAAAATTTACAGGCATAAGTCTAGCATCCCAGGCTTTGTGTTTATGTTACAATATAACACCAACAAGTTGAAGAACACCACACTCATCTAAATCTGTTTTTAAAATGTAAATAGCTGCGAGTCAGTCGATCAATGCATTACATGTATTATATAGTACATATTCAAACCATAACAACCTAAACGTAGCGCAATAAAATAAATCATTGAGGATAATTAATATCATTGTCGTTATTTGGAAAAAAATAACAATGACTAAAATATATCAAAATGAATGAAATGAAATAGTTCGGCACTGTCCAGATTTCGAAAGTTGTATCTTTAAGTGGCTGTTTAAATTTTCGTTCTTCTGAGAAATTCGAAATCGAAAAAGAAATATGTAGAAATGAAACTTGGGTGTAATACCATTTGATAATTGTAAATGATATCTAAGGTAATAAAATCCCAGGTATTTAGCTTACATATAGCTGGTAACTGTCGCGAAAGGACCTGACTCTTTATCTGTACTTATTTACTGTCATTTACAAATTCATGTATTTCCAATTATTTACAAATTCATTTATTTTCTATCACTTACAAATTCATTGATTTACTATCACTTACAAATTCATTTATTTTCTATCACTTACAAATTCATTGATTTACTGTCACTTACAAATTCATTGATTTACTATCACTTACAAATTCATTGATTTACTATTTGTTTACTAGCTCATTGATTTACTATTATATACAAATATCATTTCCTATCAATATTAGATTTGATCAGTCCACAGCTGTTACATTAGCTGTAGATGCGTATGCAACTTTAGAATGATGTATTATTAATGTTAACAGGTAACCAGTGTTCACCTTTCCAACTGACAAGAGAATCATCAGAGGCTAGCATGTCAACGGCAATATATCTGTATGTAAAGAGACTTTCCTAGTCCTTTAAAAAGTACGTAATCGGAGTACATGGATATCTGTGTCAGCTGAACTTCAAATGTCATGGAAATCAACCAGATGAAAATATATTGAACAAGTATTTAAGGTCAGAGGTCACGGCAGCCAAGTTAAATTCCGAAGATTTTCCAAGTACCAATGACTCTAGTATACACACATTATGAGTGAGTTTAGTCAAATAATTCCCGAGATATATAACCCTACTGAAGTAATGAATGGTTTATCATGTGGTGTTAGGATTCTATTACACTTCTACTGATCACAGACAAGTTTGACGATTGATTTCATTCTTAACAATACGTGTTGAAAGACACTTACAACATTTCCTCAAACATTAACAAATTATCTATATATTTTGACAGAATGTTTATGCTTTATCAATTAGTTAACTGTCCTAAAGTCTGTTTGTAGAGACAGCAAAATCAATGTTGTAAAAAGGACATCGATTACGTCACACAAACGGTCACCAATTAGTGTTATCGTCTGTTAACACGTACTACATTCTTTGTGCATTGCAATATCTAAGGAACAGCGCAAATGTGAATATTATTCAAACAAATACTACTGAGCCGGGATTGGCACTTCTACACAGAAACCCGTCGGAAAAGGACATAATTCACAATAGTTACATTGATAATATTATATATCAGGTTCATAGTTGACAATGTGTGCAAGACAATTTGCATATGTTATTAAATTAATGTAAATGACACACACAAATATCTTATAACATATAATATATATCTATACCATAGTAACTTAATGAAATGCGCCATTTACGAAATAAGACATAAATGAATATTTATGAAATTTTTGATGATGCAATTTAAAACTAAGCGTACATACCAGGAATACGATAATCACATGTCAGTGTGTCCTCTGGTAGAACTATACAGCCTGCTGTTACAGGATGGTGTCCGTAAAAACATCAAGATTGTAAAGTACTAAACAGCCTTGAGTGATCAGTCACTAAAAGACAGCACGCAAATAACATCCACGATGATAGGGTTTTGAAAAAAATATATAACATTCAGAATGTTACCTTGTCCATTTAGTATAACCTTGGGAAAAACAACAGTGTTTTTTTTGTTGAAAATGTATGTCTATAACTAGGGCAAGGTGACACAGTGGTAAAATGTATAAGCTCTTGTAACGGTGTCAGATTTCTCAACTGATAATTCTCATGTACGCTTTACACTTACACAAGAGAATCTCCATATCACCGCGTCAACATACCACGACAAAAAACAAGAACACGCCATGTGTCTGCTTACAATTGTACACTAGTACATTAAAAGTCCACACATATAGACATTGTATCCGGTCACCGGCATCTTAAATAAGAAAGTCTAAAAGAAATCTGTTGAAAGTATAAAAAGAAGGGTGTGATATACCAGAACAAATAATTAATGAATTCTAATTTTAAAACGTACCAAATTTCATCTCGGTTACAATATAATGAAAGAAACTAACAATACGTTTTAAATATGTTCTTCTATGTAATTTTGTAGGTATACAAACATTCCATTTTACCTGACTAAATATACTGATACGTGCCTTTGAGTGTAAATAAGGATCAGGTTACCTATATTTAGGTGAATGGTCTCCCGTCGTCTTATTGAGGTAATTAACAGTGTTATCAGTTGTGTTCGGGTCTACGTGGGTTCAACTGAAAAATTACCGTCTAGATTAAACATAGACTGTAACATACAGGTAAATGCTTGATGCCTGTTAGATCTACTGTGGCGAATTTTGATTAAATTTTAAGAAAAATAAGTAAGAAATGGTGGACATTTGTATATATATTTACGTCACTGCTTTGGCATACAAAATATACGTACACATAGACTAGCTGAATTATAAAACATTTCTTTACATACAGTCTACCGTATCGCCGTACATTAACATGATCGCGAAAATCTTATCCATGAAATATTGAGAAATGTTTGTATAATTACATGTCCCCTACATCCAGATCGTGAGATTTCAATTCTTTGAAATATCAGTTGATCGTTTTAAATGAAAATCGAGAAAGTTTTGACCCGTTAACATTACCAACTATACAGTATAAAGTTATGAGGCAGTAAATTTAACAGATTTATAACATATACACGTCGCACAAATTATTTACCCCTACATCCAGATCGTGAGATTTCAATTCTTTGAAATATCATTTGATCGTTTTAAATGAAAATCGAAAAAGTTTTGACCCGTTAACATTACCAACTATACAGTATAAAGTTATGAGACAGTAAATTTAACAGATTTATAACATATACACGTCGCACAAATTATTTACATTTGGTACAGATCTCATAGATATCACCCACAAATATCGACTTGTCATTTACTGCGTCAAATTCCTTTCACTGGCATCTCGTTTGAGGGACTTAGTAGACAATAAGCAGACCATGTGTTATTATGTATTATTGACAAGTGTTATTCACTTGTGTGTCGTGTGAACATGTACCTGCAATTCTTTAACCACAAGATTACATGCTTATGCAGGAAGCGTTATAGCAGTTTCAGAACGTGCTCAAGAAAAGTATAGGATTGCTGCTGCAACACATGTTCAGGAATTAATACAGATGTAGCTCTCTTCAAATTCGTACAATTACCATTAACAATCACAGATCGTCATTCCGGCAGGTTACTCATACGATTATCGATATCCACAGTCACTTACATTGCCAGGGGTAGATAACCCAGTATTCGTAACTATTAGCGAAAATGAGAAACGTCCGTTGTGAGATTCAATAGGAATGAAAAGCAGATATTCGTGTATGACTGTCTTCCTAATGATATTCAAATGCTTCTTATTCATAAGAATAGGTTAAATAATACTTTCCAATTTCTGAAATGGTGATTTGCTATTTGGCATTATGGTTTAAGATACATTAATGAATTTTATTCTCAATGAAGCCCGTAATTAGAAAGTTTAAATATGCAGAAATATACATATATACATAAATATTCAAATGTATAAATAAATATGTAATACTTACTTGATGAGAGTATCCATTAGTGTACGAAGTACTGTGACTGTACACCGACTACCCAACCTACAGTAACACGTTGGGAGTCTATGTATTTGATAGCTGCTTGTGTTGTCACTTCGACTCTGTAAACAAGGTTGAAGACATGTCATTACTACGAGCACATTTGCTGTGGAGTTGAAACGGCTACAAAACACGTCCCATTGACCGGGCAAATACCAGACGATAAAACTACATATTATCAACCTACACAGAATCCTGACCTTATCTCAAACTCTTACGATTTTTCTCGGCTACATAACAAAAGTGTAAAAATGTAAGTACTTGTATATCTATTTATATCACAGAGGTACACCATACCTTAAGTAATGTCCGTTGCTAACGTGATTATCACCGACTTCCTACCGTATTAACATGCATTAAAGAAATATTTAAACAAACCAAATACAGCATGGAGCGATTCCAACAAGCCTGTCTCTATCACTTTTCCGTTATAGATAATATTGCAATACATTAAAAACACAGAGGATATTTATTATATTGATCACATCAACAATGCGATAAATGTAAATCTACATTTTAGCTAATCTTGTAGTTTCTTAGTCGCTTCCTATGCTTCAACTTTTATGTCCTTACTATCACTGACGAGTCCTGGAAGGACAAAACAGCTGTATGATGCAGTTTAATTCATGGTTTGGCTCTACTGTATCTCTCTCTAAATTATGAAAAGGTGCTATTCACTTGTGGGTCTTTTGTACAATCTTTAGTGTCTTTTGTACAATCTTTCGTGTCTTTTAAACAATCTGTAGTGTCTTATGTACGATCTTTAGTGTGTTTTGTACAATCTATGGTGTCTTTTGTACAATCTTTAGTGTCTTTTGTACAATCTTTAGTGTCTTTTGTACAATCTTTAGGGGTTTTTTGTACAATCTATGGTGTCTTTTGTAAAATCTCTAGTGTTTTTTGTACGATCTTTAGTGTCTTTTGTACAATATGTAGTGTCTTTTTTGTACAATATGTATTGTCTTTTGTACAATATGTATTGTCTTTTGTACAATCGCTAGTGTCTTTTGTACAATCTCTAGTGTTTTTTTGTACGATCTTTAGTGTCTTTTTGTACAATATGTAGTGTCTGTTTGTACAATATGTAGTGTCTTTTTGTACAATATGTCTTTTTGTACAATATGTAGTGTCTGTTTGTACAATATGTAGTGTCTTTTTGTACAATATGTATGGTCTTTTGTACAATATGTAGTGTCTTTTGTACAATCGCTAGTGTCTTTTGTACAATCTCTAGTGTTTTTTGTGCAATCTGTAGTGTCTTTTTTGTACAATATGTAGTGTCTGTTTGTACAATATGTAGTGTCTTTTGTTAAATCTATGGTGTCTTTTGTACAATATGTAGTGTCTTTTGCGCTAAAATATTGTGTTAATTGCTTTACATGTATGTTGATTATATAGTAATTACTCGAGATATATAATTAATATGCTAAAAGTGAAAATGCGCAAACAATTTGATAACGCCAATTTAACTACAGTATCACTTCCTTATTTTTTAAAAAAATATCATCACCTCGGTTGGTACGAAATCCTTATATTATATAACTCTTTTGAATTCGTCTTGACAATGACGTTATGATGTGTTGACGTACATGTAATAATAGGAACTATACATATAATTGACCAATTAAGACTCCTTAACCAACACGTATAATTCAACGCGGATTAAAAACAAAGTTCGTGACATGAATGTTCCGAAACCGACAACAGGATAATTAGTTGCTGAATTTTAACAGCTGAAAATGTGTGTGTGTTTGAAAAGCATGTTGTTATATTCATTGTTCAGATCTTCCAAACAAACTCGATGATAAGTATTCACCGGAATATTGAAAGTTTGACATTTACCGGACACCGTTACTTGCAGTTTATATTGAGATGCAAACATATTTATGAGGATTGTAAATATTATTACAAATCATTATAATCACAACTTTAATAATTATGATAGTAGTGATTAATGGTTCAAATGTGACATGGCGCAAATGCATATCATGCACGTGCGATACACACATATAAGGAAACTATTCTAATGCCGATCTAATGAAAGGGAGAATTGGAAAGAAAGCCGATGAACATGCCTTATTCGACAGTGTTTCTTTTTAAACTCAGCTTCATTATTCAAGTGGGGACGTTTCCTCGTTTCCTCGTTTGATAGTTAAGGTCAAAATTTACAAACAGGAAAATGTCAAAATTTGCCAACTTGATTATTTTTAGCGAGAATATAAATCTTGTACTTATGTCCATATTTCAGTCTGACTTTTATATTACCGTTGTGTATAAATAGTTGTTCGTGTTCACATAGTGGTGTTTCACAGGCACTTGTAAACACTGAAGCCTCCGAGGCTTTTCGTCGGCCAATCCTTCCACAGGTGGCATAAACACAGGTGTATCCGAGGTTACTTAGGTACGAATCAACGTCATAAGTATGTCTTTTAAATATATACAACGAAGAAAACTATCAAAACTTGAATTTTAAAGATATATTTTACAGATAAATAAAGGTACGAGTAAGTATAATAATTACGTTACATTAAAATGTGATTTACATAATTCTATATCTACATGACAGCACTTCTTTTATGATGTATGTTGCTAAGGAAATAAAACATTTAAGAAATTTAACAGTTCTCATACCAGTAATCTACAATGGTGTATGAATTTGAGGGATAAGTATGCAAACATCACCAATAAAACAATTATAACTTAGTTTGTTGTTTTAAACAGGCAGTCATCTTATGATGAAGGAAAAAACGTGTAAAAATGGCGTTGAAACGAAATCGATAAAACTGTAACAAATTATGAAAAATGGAAGAATCTTCAGCTTTGCACCTATTGAAGGAACCGCACCATAATTAGCATTTACAAACTGTGATATGTAGATCGGGTCTAAGCCTCACATTGTTCTCAAAAAGCGAGCTGAGGCATGAAACAGAAATACTAACAAATATAAAGACAATCATATTTCCTTTGTCTTCGTCCTCAATGCTGGCTTAATCGTTGATTATGCAGTCTTTATGATTGTCCTTTAAACAGACAAAATGTAGCCGGTAGGTTACATAACTCATTATCATATTGCTATCTGGGTAATTATATTTCTTCTGAGTTACGTGACGTGAAAGTAAAATCACACATGCTAAATGTTAAGTAAACATGACAACTATTTTACACTTAAAATTCCTATGTTTGAACCACTTGACAGAAATATGTATCTATAATTACTAGTCTGCCGTTAAATGGAAGACGTAATAATATATTTGCTATGTCAGTGTGATTGCTTTCACACATGAAGAAATGGAAACACAAACTGTAAAATACATTTGTGTTGCATCCTTTTTGGGGGCATACATACCAATACATAATTATATAAATCATTACTAAGCTCGAAAAAAAACAATTATCAGCACCTGCATGATGAATTATGATAACTACATGTACTTCGTCATAGAATGTCAAATGATTAAGTGCCAACAATTTTTTTACATATTAAGATGCATTGTATTACTGATATAAGTCAGTAAAGCTGTTTATAGTTCATCCAGTTGATGAGTAATTGGATATTATTATCAATATACATACCTTTTAAGTGGTAGATTCTTTATCTATCACGGTTAGTCATCTGTGAGTGATGTTTACATTCAGTTCTAGAAGTGCAAACATAACACAATGTTAAAACATCAGTACCGTAACAAATCAATATTTCGAATATTTGGCAACAACCTATATGTGAAAACCAATTTCATTTTGCAAAGAAAATATCACTTTTCGTCGCGATTAAATAAAATTTCCTTTCAAAGAAAATTTCCTTTAAAAGAAAAATGTTAGATATGTACTTGTATCTATTCAGCCTCTACTTTTTATGCAGAAATATTTCGGTTGAAAGGAACATAAAAATTCGTTTTTATATACTAGGTTTTCCTTTACCTTTAATACGTCTAACATTCCATGGTGTTCCATAGTGAACCTTTGTCCATAGTTTGGGCTATGTAGGCTCTCTATCAGGCATCTGTTCTACTTTCGGTTTATGACCTCATTTAATGTCATTAACTGTCATGAAGCAAGCCGCGCTTGCGACCTCAGTAAGGTAAAATGACATCAATATCTCTAAATCAGAAATTATTAAAATATGATGTTTACTGTAACTATCCTAGCGTGACTGGTAATATACTGAACTGGACACTTTCCTGTGACATGTTACGAAACACACCGAATGAATCGTGCAAGAAGGATGTAATATCACTATCCATGTAAATATCATAATACATTCAATGCAAACCTTCCTGAATATAACGTTGTATTAGCTGAATGGCCACAAGTCGATACGAAACAATCTTTATTACAAATCTATAGAACAATAAAGCACTGGTAATTGATACGGTGTAATTTCCATTGATTATTTATCCCAGGACGACAAAATTGAGACCAATGCTGTATCACATCACATGCCAGTTCGTAGATATTCCCACGTGTCCTATCGGTGTTATCCACTCCGAAATAATATCCGTGTATCTCTCCGCGTATTTACAAACAGTGTATATTGCAAATATTCACATTGTCCGCGTTTCACCTCGAAAATAATTCCAATATCCTGTCATTATCTCTGATTAATATACCAACTGATTAACCACAGTCGTCATCCTTTTCAAAGAGCACATTTCATTTTCATAACTGTCACTATATAACGATACAAGATTTTCTGTACAAGTATTGCTCTATAGCCCCACTCTATACGTCCTCGACTTAAGTCGCTATCTGTGTAGCCGACTCTGTGGACAATCTATACCGGCACAACATGTAGTACGTACTTCCTCTACAAAATCAACATAAACACAACAAACTTATCCGTGAGTATACACGGTCATATCCCCATGTCGTCCGGTGTGTAACAAACACCACGACTTCACATACAAACCCGTCCCTCGCTTAAAGAGTGTTACTTTGACATTTTTTGTTTTTTTTTGTTAAAAAAAAAACACGACTTCTATGGCTACAAATTAAATGAGGCGAGACGCCCAACATATCCATTTGAGTCCTTTTCCATGATTTTCTCTCCGGTCACTGTGTCAGTGTGTTCACAACGTCAGGCTATACATAAAAACTATATATAACTCGTACACAGCCGCGGTTTCGACAGAATGCTGCTATTTTAGGCATATTTCTGTTACTAGGATAAACTTGCACCGTAAGCGTGGCTTTGTGCTCACACGTTTCGCCCTAGGATGAGATTTCCGCATGAACAATTTTGCGGTTCATGTATACTTGAGTTGTTTTTGGCAACTGATCTGCAGTCATGCGTGTCGACAACTAACATATAATGTTTATATGACTATTACTTTTCATACTTGTGTGCATTCAATTATTATATAGATTACAATGTGTCTATGTCAGGAAGTAGACAAACGGAACTGACCTCTGTAAACTGAACAGAAGAATAACCGGTACTTATTTGTCATGCGTTCTCATCATGGCGCCTTTGCCATCCAAACCAAATGTTCTGTTTACCAACAATAACTAAGCTGTTTTATCGACATACCCTCATTGTTCCTTTTATGTTCATAAATAATTAGCAAATGTAAACAAATGATCAAAATCAATCTGAAATATTTTAGTAATTGGTGTCTACATAAAGGCACGATCGATACATCAATGCTGAATCGATGTTGCTTTAACCTCGTGATTGGACCAAGGATTGGTCGAATACACGACTCAGTCTTGTTACAGTGGTACGCAAAATTATTTATTGTTTTCACGTTATACAAGTCATGGAATAACAAAACTTATATCCCGCTTTTATTAGAATCAATACCATGCCAAAGGAAAAGTGTATATCAATCCGATGGATTTGGATGTCTTGAAAGGAGTCCGATGAGAAACATATATGAAGGAGGTATTTGCGTTATGTTTACAAACGTTCCAGTTGGATAATCTGAAGTGTTTTAAAATTGTTGGGTCAGCGGGAACAAACACTGTTTTGCGTCTTTGATTTGAAACCACTGTCTGAAGATTGAGGATTACCAGTTTGTATGTCCAGGGTCAACGGTAATCATTTGTGTAAACATTAGAAGAGAAAAGACTTAAAGTGGAAGCTAGTCTGATAACATTTTGTGATCGAAAACCGAGCCACCAACGGAGAGTAGGCTTAATGATTTGGAGTGATTATAACTGTTACGTCGTTTTGATCGTTCCATTTATAACCATATTGATTGCTTGATGTTATTCATATGAATTAAACGTCGCTTTAATATTATTCTCACTGGTAAATGCTTTAAAGAGAGCCAATGTTGTGAACAGGTCTAATTACACCGTGCATATCGATTCTCTTCTATTCAAATATCAGGTTTAGTTTTTTTACTCGTTAAAGAATGTCAAACTCGTCTTCACAATGAACATGGAAGTCAATTTCAGTGATATTCAATTTTCGTTATTGTTTACACTCGTTAAAACTAACATGATTTGACTTAAACGTGTATTCACCTATAACATTACTAAATTTAACCATCTGTGAAAATGATAAGGTGTTATGGTGTAGAGTGTTCAATACCAATTATGAAAATGTGAGTTTTTTTTTTAAATGATTCTTATACGTTGAGGTTATTTAAAAAAAGTTTATTAAGTATTTCCGAAATATACATAAACAAGAATCCACGTGGTTGTCTATAAAGAAAGTAGATATACACCATATTATTCTTTTTTCATCATTTTATTATTTTTATATTAAATTATGATGTTATTTACGTCATTCAGTTGATACTTCTAAAAGGGATTTGTTAAGATAACCATGCATTCAATATCAAGACCCTGAAACGTGTCTGTATATACAATTATTTACACAAATTGGACATTCCTGTATTCTACATATATCTACCATTCCAAATGTTTAATGTTACAGACTCCCGTATATCCGGTAAGTGATAAAAGATTGATCGGACTATAAATCTGACATGTCACTATACACATCAGTGGTAATCTGAAATGCTAACAAGATCACAGACAACCTTTTTCTATTAATATTCAAGTGTCTTGTTTGTTTATTGTCTAAGTGGAAATGTTTTATCAACTTATCATGTTACCGACTTAAGAGGTTTCTTGTTCTGCCCTTGTAAAAGGAATTTAACACAAGTGAAATGTTTTTGTGGCTCTGTTTTCAACTATTGTGTTGTTTATGAGTTTTGTTTTTGTTTGTTTGTTTGTTTTTTTATATCCTGAATATGAGGTCGCAAACCATATCTCACAGAAATTAGATAAGTCTCTTTGGTTACCACATCATATTATAAACAGTAAACCAATATGATTTAGCTATTGTGAGGTTTTAAAACCCTTTGTGCACAAACAAAACCATAGGGGAATTCAACATTTGAATGCTTCTTCACAACAAGCTGAATGTAAATAAACTTTAATGCACGTGTGAATTCCTTTAGCGTTGTTTGCAATATAGTATAATATATTGCATTTTTTATTGTTAAGATTGGGGAATTTATTCAGTGAAATTTGGTTCTCTGGAATTGGCGTTTCCTAGATTTATTTGTTTTTTTTTTATTGGGAATCCACGCGAAAGGAGGTCCATAATTCTGTACCCAGATGCCACTGATGGTGACACCATATGGTATACATTTATAAGTCATTTATGCATTTGTTACTTACACAACGTCGTCACAAGGATAGCCAAATTCACTGCGTCAGAACTCTGACATTCATCGTAGCACAATCAAGTCGGCTTCAGTTCCGCTCTGTCACAAGGAGGCTTACGTAAACATATTACAGCCTATGAAAAACACAACACATATGCTCCAACCCAACAATAGGCGGGTCTGGTTGTTGACAGGACGTTAAACGAAATTTAATAAAACCAAACCGTCTGTAAGATAACGCTCAACAGTTGAAAGAGTCATGTAGACAAAAAACTGTCACCATCCAGTCATTATAACCACTCTATACTGGGCAAAATCCTTACAGGCACTTTACGTAAAGACACGGCAAACGATGCTCAATCAACTTAGCACAAACTGTAAATCGATGCCACTAAAACAAAGCTGATTTTAGTCCGTTCCTCTTGGTTGTTTTATTTGGTAGACGACAGAGTGTGACATCATTTAATAACCTATATAACATCTAACGCAAAATGAATAATTTACATATACTTGTCATGACCTAGCATTTATATTAACAAGACAAGTCAATTATAAACGTGTACCTTTCTGGGCAAAACGTATTCCTCAGAAAACAGAAATATTTATCATATTGTTGTAATTAACATATTTTGACAACGTCATAACTTGCTTGTCTGGTTATAAATGTTTAGTAGGTACCATTAATAGCACGCGTCAGGGGGCCCGTTTGTTATAGTGTCATTTATCAACTAGGGGGAGATACAATTGTAACTCTAATGTTGTATTTTTAGCCAGAAATCGGATATTTCCATTCTGGGATAAATTACATCTTCACACTTGAGCTCGAAATTTTCTCCTCGGTTTCTTTTCTACCAATTAAAACAATTTAGTATTGAATTTGTTTTAAAGGTTGTTATATATACAACTTATTATGTATTGTATTTACCAGAAACCAGTAGAATTTATTAATATGGACTTGTATACATTAATGAAAAAAAAAGGTAACTGTTTTCCTGGTTAAGGAAATTGTCCATCTCCAGCAAATGTTCATGTACGTGTTGTGTTTTCCTAGTACATCAATTTTAAACCTCATCTGTTATCGAAAACATCTCCTATGTGAAACACGAATCTCTGGACCCATTTTTATCTTGCAATAATGGATACTAAAATATACATTAGAGTTGTTTTAACGTTATGCTATCAAATTCTCTAAACCTAGACCAAAACCCTAATGTAAATATGTAGAAACATTGCGTGCTGAAAAATGAATCCATATTATGTTTGTTGACACTCTAGACGCCGTCGCCTGGTATAATCAATACTGAAGCATATAGGAAACAAAGTTTGCGTATTTTACACCGTCAGTGAAATAACAAGAACCAACATACGAATCCTGTGCTACATATAAGATGGCAATATTGTCTGATCTACTCGTTGTTAATGTACACTTGTCACGAAAACAACAGCCATTGCTATTTTCGACGTCCACTAGGAGTGTTTTACGTAAGACCCTAATGTTCGTTATATTAGTTATTGACCAACAGAGACCAATATCAGAAAAAGTTAGGGAATAGACTTAGAATAAATCTAAGAAGTGCAATCTAGATCAGAATATATATAATATATGTGTTGTAGTAATGCTGTGTCAACAAAATTCGGGAATAAACGGTTTTTATGCAGTCTAAAAGCATGACTACAACTGCAAACTCTACCATCGTTTCTGTTTATATTTAATTAAAACGCGTTAGGCTATTTGACATCAAGTTTCTTAATCAACTCGAAATCATTTGATTCCAAATCAATTAAATGTCCCTGTTGTTTTCGTCGTAACAGCATTGCCTATTTTCTATATCATAGTCAAATCTAACGTTTCAATTCTCATTTATTCTTCGGTAAACAATGATTAAATCTTGCATACGACAAAGATGATCATCGACGACCTACGAATCTCATACCTATGATTCCCTTACTAGTCACATTTTCATGACTGGGGACATC